GTGAATAACTCCAGGATGGCCTTCTCCTCCCTATCTAGTCTCAGTTTCCCCTGATCCAATCAGCATATTGCCACCTTCTCTACAATTCTTCAGTAAATCCCCACTGGCCCCAGAAAAAAAGTCCAACTCCTCAGCATGCTGACAAATCCTTAATCTGCTTTTGCTCTATTTGCTCTCACATCCTGGCCACATTTAACTCTTGTAATTCTCTATAACTAATTCACCGTAACTACTTGTAATTCTCTCATACCTCCCACTGCCATGCTTTTTATTATTCCCTCTGTTTGGAATTCTCTATCCCCACTGAAGGGAAGGCAAACTCCTTCTCCTCCTTCTGTACACTCCACTACCTTGCACCGAATTGTAGCATACACTGACCATATTGTGTCTGTATTGTAACCACTTCCCACCTTGTTCCAAGGTGTTTTTACTATAAAACGTTCTACTGATAAAACTAATATACGTTAGAGAAAATACATGAAAAATATAGGAAACAGAAGAAAGATGTGTGTGTGTGTATATATATATACCTCTTTATCTCTCACAGCATCATCATCTTCACAAAGTCACTGGTATCATTTTGTTGTATTTCCTTCTAAGAGTTTTTCATAAGCATCTATTTTTTACATGACTAAATGGAGTGAATGTGCAATGTTGTAGCTACCTGCCCTTTAAAAACAAAGCCAACATTACAAAATAGGCATTTTTTTGGTTACATAGTCGTCCTAATTATCACTTGTTAATGGTTACATAATAGCCTATCAAGTGAGTATCTTACAGCATACTATGTAAACATTCTGAACATTCTGCTGTTGTTGAATATTTAGGTCTCTCTCTTTCCCCCACCCCTCCACTTTTTTTGGCTATTATAATTAAGAGAGAAATTACCATCTTCATACACACAGTTTTCCAATATTTTTGGATTGGTTTATTTCCTTAGAATAGATTACCGAGAGTAATAGATATATGAGTTGAGAATCTTTCTTCTTTCAGCTCAAATTTGGGAGGAGACAAATACATACAGGTGTATATTATGTTTCAATCTCCCTTCCTGTAATTTTAGTAACGCTAAATATTTACTCATGTTTATTTACTATTTGTTTCCTCTTTGGTGAATTGTTCCTGTCTTTTGTCCACTTATCTAAATTTCAGTGTTCTAAAAAAATCAATTAAAAGAAAGATTTTATTATTTTTGGGCGGGAGAGATGTGAGATGGAGGGAGGGAGAGAGGGAGAGAGAGAGAGTGAGGAGAGAGAGAGAGAGAGAGAGAGAGAATCCCAAGCAGGCTCCATGCTCAGCACAGAGCCCGATGTGGGGCTAGATCCCACAACCCTAAGATTACGACCTGAGCAGAAATCAAGAGTTGGAAGCTTAACTGACTAAGCCATCCAGGTGCCCCTAGAATAAAGATTTTAACCCTTTGTAGTATTAACGATTTTTTTTCCCTCTTCTTGTCTTGGTAATATTTTAGCTGTAAAAGTAATAAAATCTCATTACAGAAATTTTGCAAACTACAGAAACACAGTTTTAAAAAAGTCATCAATAATTCTGTCACCCTGACATAGCCACTATCATTATTCCCACTGCTTTTTTTTTTTAAATATGTGTGTGTTCTACAAAGTTGTAGTTGTGGTGTGCATACAATTTTAAAACCTGCCTTTTCATTAACACAAGTCTTTTTCTGAAATGCCTTATACAGTCTTCACAATAATCATTTAAAGTAATATATAATATTCTATGGAGCAGATTGACCAATTCCTTACTACTACATATTCATTTTATTTCTAATATTTCTGTTTCACAAAGAACACTGATAAGCACTTCCATGCAAATAGTTTTTTACCATATTTTGACTGTCTTCTCAGGAGTAGGATTAAAGGGCACTGATCCTATCCCTAAAGTAGACAGAGGGCACTAATATACCTTAGCTACCAAGTTACTTTCTTAAGAGGTTGAAACAAACCATGCTCTTACTAGCCAACTGAGTACCATGTTTTTCAATTCTGGCTTAAAAAGGGGCCACCTAGTTTAAATTTGCATTTCTTTGACCAGTAGCAATGAACACTGCCCCAGGTTTTCCCATGGTACTTAAACACCTTTGTAAATTTTCTCTTCATGTTCTTTGCCCATACTTCTTTTTATACATCATACCACAGGAGTGCCTTAGGAAATACAAACACACTTTGTCATATTTATGTCAAATATGCATTTTTAGTCTGTATTTAGATTTTGTGTTTTAAATGGCCACAAAACTTTTAAAAGTGATTTTGGTTTTAAAATTTTATGCAGCTAAATTTGTTGAGCTTTCCCTTTGGGAGATTTTTTTTTCCTATTACTTCCTAAGTGTAAAAAAACTATTCTCCTTGAGAAGCTTGATAAATATCCATTCATTCTAGTTTTTTTAATAATTTGCTTTTTTACATTGAACTGTTCAATCTAGCTGCCACTTATTTTAGTTTATTATAGGAGATGAGGGTATAAATGCTACCAGCTGTCACAACATCATTTACTGGATAATCCTTTCCACTCCCATCTACTTGCAAAGCATCTTTTACAATAGACTGAATTCTTATATATAACAGTCTCTTTGGGGAGTGTAGTATAATATCATCTGTCTCATCTTATACCAGCAGTACTGGTGTTTTCCTTATTCTAGTTTTGTATGTTTAATATCTAATAGTAGTCACTCATCACTCTTCTTTTAAGGAATTTCTTTGAAAATCATTGTTCTTTAGTTTCCAAATGCAATTATTTGCTGTCTTACCTCTAAGATACAAATTTTGTGAAGGCTGGATTGGTTCATTTCCTTAGAATAGACAAGAACAATATTACAGGGTCATACAGGTAGGAATATTTTCCCCACTCTTTCAACACCTTTTCCCAAAGTTTTCAAAAAGAATGTACCAATTTCACTGTAATTATGCCAGCATGAGGATATTTTGAAGACTTTTTTTTTCAACATTGGTAAGGGAGAAAGATACCATGCCTCAATTTTTATCTCTCTGCTTATTAGTGATGATAAACATGTGCTTGACATAAAGTAGGTGCTTAATCAGTGCATGTTGAATGGCTAAATGGCATGTATGAATCTATACATGTATTTGGGGATGGCAACGTTTAAACAAATATTGCGCTTATGATAGATAATGCTGGCTAGATGTCGGTTCATGGGCTCAATACTTGTGGTCCCCCTGCAGAGACGTTCTAGAGGTGCCAAGAACCCCCTAGAATTTGGACCTGAATTGGGGAAAGCCCTAGAAACTCTCTGTAATTTATATCCACCACAGTGTCTGTTTCCAGGTAGGATCAGCTGAAAACTGTCTGAAACAGTTAAGATAATACCTACCTACATGCAGCCCAGAAGCAGCCATGATTGGCTCTAGATAGATAGAGTATGCTTCATTTCAAAGCAAAACAGTGAGAAGAAGTGGCAGGTATCTGGGTAGTCCACTGGAAACTGACCCAGGCCCTTGCAGGCCTTAAGCAGGGAATTTAAGTATAGAAGATCCTCCAGTGCCCCACGCAGAAAGCAGGTCTGATTAACAGGATCAGGCATTTTCCATGAAAGCACACTGCCTTTCTTCTCAACTGGCTAAGTGCAAAAGGGAATAGAAATCCTTGGTTCAGAGAGGCTTGGTTTTTTTTTTTTAACCCCCTCCCCCGCCTTTCATCTGTAGTTTAAAGGCGAGAAGGTTATTTACTTATTTATTTTTGTCCTAGGGATCACTGTCTTTATTTTGAAATTTTTTAATGGAGCAAGAGCTAACAAAGGTAGGTAGTTTCTCTTTGTTTCTAAGGCCACATAAAACTCATTATTAAACACTGGTTCTCTCTGCTCTATCACCTCAGTAGTAGATTCTAGTAGTAAACTTTCTCAAGGACTTCCTTGGTCATGAAAGCTTTCGATTTGATGAAAAGAATTCCATGTTCTTATCTTACCCTCCATATGCTGAAACTGTGCTCAGGGTTTTAGTCTGAGAAAGAAAGCACCATTTTATCTGGACTCAAGAGCACCAAGGATGATCAAGCTCATGGCCAACAGTATGAACAACTGGCGTGTGAAAGATGTATCATCAGTTACTACGGCCATCGCTTCATTTCACTCACACAGCCCATAGAGCAATTCAGAGTTTTAAAAATTCTTCTCCTCCAGTCTGTATTAAGTACTACTCACATAGCAAGCAAGCCTATCAAGCAAGATGACAAATGCCGTCCCCACAGTCCTTGTCACACACAGGATGGAGCTGTTTGAAATGTCAACATGAAACTCCAAAAGGACTTCTCTAGCTCCAAGTAGCACCTGAGAACCGCTGTTTCAGAAGCCCTTTCTCCTGAGTGACACTTAATTCTCTCAGTCAGTTGCCACTTGCCTTGGAGATGGCAGCAAAAGCTTCCTTCTTGATTTGTCAGCCTTTTATTTTAAATCTATTCTCATCAGTTTCCCACCTATTTGGAAATCTGTTTGCCACCTCTTTCAAGGACCAGCTCTAAAATGCACCTCTCCCAAGACTTCCACGATTAATTTCTGCATAGCGCTAAAATCTCAGCTCATATACATATTCGGTTGGTACCCAAACTGATGTTGTTCCCTAATTATTCTAGTTCTGTGAGTGTCTCTAAAGCATAAGTCCCTTGAAGACAGGGTAATTTCCAAAAAGCTGGGAAAGGAACGTACAGACTGTCTAGTTAGATCCTTCACCCCTGCCCATTTTCCTGATGAAGAAACTGAGTCCCAGAGAGGTTAATCTTTCCAAGTCAGTTAGCCAAGTCTGCAGAAAAACTAGGCACGGGGCCCAGGTATCCTGACTTTCAATAGAGTGCTTTCCACTATATTGTGTCACCTTCTTCTGCTCCACTTGTATCTCCTCAGAATGCCTCGTAAAGTGCTCTATTTGTACACAGATCTCTCAGTGAATGCCCAGACAATAAGCAGAAGAGTTTACATAACTGAGAAACTGACTCAAGGAAAGAGGCAGAAAGCAGAAAGGTCATTTTCTTACTTCTTTGCATGATGCCACCCTCCGGACCAGTTAATTGCTACTTTGCACATTCCATCAATCAGGCATTGGGCAGCTGTGATAGTGGCCCCTCCTACAGCTGCTGCGTAGTCAAATATTCCTTCAGTGGCTGGGCAGTCATAACCTTCGGGCAAACATCAGAAGAGCTTGTTAGGGATGAAGTGGAGAAAGAAGAGGTGTGATACTGTGATTTACATAATAAGAAATACCCCTAGGTGATCTTCATCCCCCATGTCTGACACCCAGCTCCTCAAACTGTGGGAATTTCCTAAGTGAGGAGAGCAGTAAAGTTGTCTCTGTTGTATTAATGAGGTGACTTGTGGATCACACTTCAGGATCAGGGTGGGGGTGAGCAGTGGGGCGAACCAGGTGATTGGAGGTTGGAATTACCAGTTCTACCCCCTGACCTCCTCCTGTGAGAGGAAGGGGCTGGAGATTCAATGACCCATGGGCCAAAGGTTCAATCAGTCATGCCTATGTAATGAAGCCTCCATAGAAACTCAAAAGGCTGGCTGGGAGAGGTTCTGGTTTGGTGAGCGTGGAGATGTGGGGGGGAGGGTGATGCCTGGAGAGTGCGTGGAAGCTCCACACCTTTGGTTATCCCTTGCCCTATGCATCTTTTCCATCTGGCAGTTCTGAGTTATATCCTTTTACCATGAACCAGTAGTCTAGTGAGTAAATGGGTTCCCTGAGTTCTGCGCCCTGCCCTAGCAAATTCAACCCAAAAGAGGATGTTTGTGGGAACCTTCAGATTTATAGCCAGTCAGTCAGAAGCACAGGTAACAAGCTGGGCTTGTGACTGGCATGTGAAGTGCCGAGCAGTCTTGTGGGAGGGAGCCTTTAACCTGTGGGACCTGATGCTATTGCCAGGTAGACAGTGTCAGAATTGAGTCAAATTGTAGGCCACCCAGCTGGTGTCCTGAGCATTGCAGGTGGTGTGGGAGGAAAGCCCCACCTCCACACATTGGAACTGGGTTTAGAACCCTACTGGGAGTAGTAGTTTGAGGTGCAAAAACAACATATATTACCAAAAAGCTTCTGTGCTAACATCAGCTTCCAAATGAGAGATAAACATCTCCAATGTTTGGCAAAGAATTTTTTGAAGTGTTGGAACTAGAAAAGCTAAACCTTCAAGATTAGCTAGTCACATCCTACAGATGGAGAAACTGAGTCCCGAGAGGTGGTATGTCTTCTCTATGGTCACACAGAGCCAGGCCTGGGACCCATGTCCCTTGACTCACCCATTTCCCAGACCAGGGATCTACTAAACCATGGTGTTTCTCTAGACTAGCCTATCGGCCACCTACAGTTTTTTTTAAAAAATACAACTGTTCAACCTCAAGCAGGGTTGAAAACTTAGCTGGAACATAAATATGTACTCAAGTTAAAATATAAGGTCATGGGACAGTTACATCAGCATACATGCAGCCAGACCCAATCTGGGCACTACTATTAGGGCTTCGGCAACTAAAAGATCTTCCCCCATCTGACCCACCATTCAGTTTTGCTCAGTTCGTATGGTTTGCTCCGTAAGTGAGATATGTGTATCTAAACTAAGAGATTAAGATGGTGGTTAAAACATTAGCTCTTAATTAACAAATATGAAAGACCATCATGCAATCATAAAAAGAGTGGTTACAATTTACAGATGGAGGTCATCTACCTCCCGTCATTACCCGGCAATGACTTTACCTAGCCCATATTCTATGGAGTCTGGATGATCGTCATCTCCTTCTTGGCTGACCTTCTGGAGATGCTGCAGATAGGCATCAGTGTGGAAGGTGGCCATCTCCTCCATGGAAGCTACTTTGGGCTTAACTATCCTAATAATAACAGAGAACAAAGAGAGGTGAGTGACTCAGACCCAGAGTATGCCAGAAACTGGAAGCAGGAGCCAGCAGTCTGAGCAGAAAATACAACTCCCAGCTTCCAGTTCCAGTGGGCTGAAATAATGAACACCTTCTGTTCTCCTACTGCACCATCTAGTCCTCACTTCCTCACATCTATATAATGATTCCATTAATAAGGGGTGAGGGGGCAGATCTTCCCCCTGAGTTTATAGGTAGGTAAAAAAAAAAGTGAGTAATTATATTCAAGTTAAACAGATACTGGACCAACTTCACTCTGTGAAGTTACAACTTGCATGACAAACTAGTAGGTGGAGATATTCTCATTTGAGTCAGTTCCTAATTGGTACATATAATCCTTTCAGCTATATTTTTACTTTATTATTTTTTTACTTGTTTTTTTAAAGAGGGAGGGAGAAAGGGGAGAGGCAGGGGGAGGGACAAAGGGAGAGGGAGAGAGAGAATCTTAAGCAGGCTCCAGGCCCAGTATGGAGCCCAACATGGGGCTTGATCTCACAACCCTAAGATTATGACCTGAGCCAAAATCAAGACTTAACTCTATATTTTAACTTTAGTAGGCAACTGTATTTTCATGAATTTTGAATTTGGAGCCAGAGAACTGGGCACCTCTTTTTAACTCTGTACTTAACAGCTTCTCATCTATAAAGTAGGGAGATCTAATGGGACATATGTGAAGATTAAATGATAACATGAAAACGCTTTATGGATAACTATCATTAATATTAAAAGATAAAATGTGGCAACTCAAAACATAAAAGTTTCTCTACGTGGTGTGCCACATCTACCTCTGAGAGGAAAAAGAGAAGGGGCAAACTGGTTGGAACTGGGCTTCACTCAGAAGCTTTCAATCAACTCCTCACAACAAGTGACAAATAGAAGTGACCGAAAGAGGGGCACCTGGGTGGCAGCTGAACATCTAACTCTTGGTTTTGGCTCAGGTCATGATCTCAGCGTCGTGAGATGAAACCCTGGGTCAGCCTCTGTGATCAATGGGGAGTCTGTTTGAGATTCTCTCTTTCCCTCTGCCCCTCCCACCACTCTCTCTTCTTTTCTCTCAAATAAATGAAAAAATCTTTAAAAGAAAAGAAGCGAGTGAAAGAATACAGGGTGACTTTAAGCTTACAGCAGGACTTATCACGTCTAACCTCTAGCTGTCTACTCCCCATTTTCTCTCCTTGACTCTGCCATTGCCACTCAAAGGGTAGTTTATGGACCAGCAGCAGCAGCAGCACCTAGAAGCTAATTAGATATGCAGAACTTCAGCCCCCCCACCCCGCCGCCGATTTCCTGAATCAGTATTTAACAAGGTGATTCATAAGTACATTCAAGTTGGAAGAGCAATGATCTAAGTCACAGGGAGGTAGCAATGTGGTGGTTTTTTATGTTTGCTGAATGGGAACTCAGCCATGAGTTTTTCATGAATTAATATGATCATAGAGGCTACTAGTATCACAAAGCAGGTCAGAAAAATCCTGTAGCTCAGTCTCGAAAAAATCATGTATAGGGTCAAGAGCCAAGGATTCCTGCTTCTCCTTCAAGAAAATATGCCTACATCCTCAGAGGTGACAAATCTGCACATTAAAATATAAATGCTACAGTTTCTTGGACCATGTTTCCCAGCCCTAATAGGTATCTTTTCTAGCATCCTTCCTCTTGTTTAACAAATATGGAAAGCCTCTCTGCTTAATAGCAAGGGAATGGGACAGTTTTGCTTTGCACTGACTTCTTGTTTGTCTTAAAGTAACTTTTGAAAAGTTAAATAACTGTGGGATGCCTGAGTGGCTCAGTCGGTTAAGTGTCTGCTTTGGCTCAGGTCATGATCCCAGGGTCCTGGGATCGAGTCCCACATTGGGTTCCTTGCTCAGGGGAGAGTCTGCTTCTCCCTCTCTCTCTGCCTGCCTCTTCCCCCTGTTTGTGCTCTTTCTCTCTCTCTCTCTCTCTTGCAAGTAAATAAACAAATAAAATATTTTTTAGAAGAAAAGTTAAATAAATGGAAGGCATGTAGTTCTTATGTCTAACACACATATGGGTTAAAAGAATATGGTACTCCATAAATGATTTTGTTAATAATAAGAATAAAATTTAAAAGCCTATTACACAAACTTCTGGGAGATAAATGAAGCATACCACACAAGCCCGTGCAGACACTCACCTATTTGGCCAGACATGTCACAAATAATCCTACAAGACAGGGTTATGATATTTACTCTTATAAAGATTAACAGCAAGCTCATTTTTTTTTAAAAGAAGCACTTAACTCTGAGTTAAGCACTTAAAAGAAGCACTTAACTCAGAACTCTTAGCTGAGTTCTGGTCTGGTTGCAGTTTCTCTTTAGTCTTGATTTGTCTCCAGGCTTACTGCTAATAATTTGGTGGTGGTGATGGGGTGTCTAAAAGTCTGAAGTTGAACACACACCCTCACATCTGGCTTGGAAACAAATACACACAAACCCCAGAACACCTCCTAGACAAACATCTATTCCCCCCCTTCATCAGATGGGTTTTAGTGTCCTAATGTATTCTCCTCAAAATCTCCACAGAGCACCTATCCCTAAAATACTCTCCCTTCCAGCAACAAAGTCTTATTTCTAATGGATCTTAACTACTTCAGGCATTTTTCTTCAGGTCTTCCTAATTCTTCAAGAAGTTTCACTAGGTTACAGATAGATTACAAACACTGATTACAAAAAAATTGAAAAAAAAAAAAAGACTATTCTCCTAATTTGCTCCACTGTGAAGTAGGACATTAAGGCTAGAACACTTAGGTTCAGGGCTCTGTTCATGAAAGACGACTTACCTCATTTGCTTATGCAGTGCATATGCTTCAATCAAAGAATGTACCATGCTGGCCTAAAAACATCAACAAAAAAGAAAAAAATAAGCAAGAAAAAAAGGCAGAATACAAGTCTCTTAAATGTTTAATTCAGAGAAATACCACCGACTTCATCATCCTGAACAAAGAAACTAACTTTTAACGCCCCTCTTTTTACTTAACAGTTACAATGCACTTTAGACAAATTGCTAAGGCGAAAGCTACCCGGCCTTACGGAGGTAGGGGAACATTTCTCTCCTGCAGCGTCTTCCCCACTTCAGGGATCCCTTGTAGTAGAGACACCAACCCCTCAGTGCCATCCCCTCCCCCGCACTCCTACCTCAACCGATGCATTGAACGCCCCGCAGATAAATGCTGCGCTCTCAGAAACTACAAGGGAACACTTCCCCCATCACCTGGTGCAGCTGCCCAAATTTCTGCTGATTTTCCCCAGCCCAATCCTCAACCCCTTCCTAATGCCTCCGGTCCAAAGGCCCCCACCCCCACCCCAAAAGCCCACGGTCTTTTTCCCCCACCTCTCTTACCCGTTTGGGGACTTTGGCCAGGGAGTCGCACATGCTGACATACTCGGGACTGTAGATGTAAACTGGAGGCAGCGACTGCCCACTGTCTGCCGGTTCCTCCGGCTCCTCCATCTTCCAGTTGCAGCCGTTCCGGAGCCGCCGTCTGGATCCGGCTTTTTTCGGACTCAACCCGGGCTCCGGTTCCTGCTCCTCTAAACGGCCGCAGCGGTGCTCCCTGGTCAACATTCCCTCCTATTCGCGCTGTCGCCAGAGACACTGTCCCAGCTCCCCATCCAATTGAAGGAATGCATGGGCCTTCCCAGGCCAGAACCTCTTCATTTAGTGACCACGGCTCAAAAACGGGAGGCCGGCAAATATAAAAGCCCAAATAGCAGCCAATTAGGATCAATTTTTTATGGCACAAATAAGCACGGTCAAAACTAACCATCCTTGTTGCCCTACGGGGCCATTTGAGATGAGGTCAGACCAGCTTTAGAGCATGCTGGGAGATGTAGTTTCGAGGGGTTCGGGTAGCGGAAGAGCCGGGGCTAATTACTAAAATAGCCGCGAATGTGTGTTAGCGCTTAAAAAAAGAAAAGAAAAAAAAAAAAAAGCAGGCTTAACTCTTTACGCAACGTTTCAATCTGCAAATACAGCCATATAAATATTTAAAAACGACACAGTTTGACCACCAGGAGCCCAATATCACCGAGCTACATTAGACAGGCTTTTGGGTGTGTGTGGTGGTGGTGGGGGACTAATTAATGGCGCAAAGGGTTGGGAAAGTTTGCACAGTAAATTCTGTACCACAACTTTAGTTTATTCCTTTTCATCATTAATCCATGTCCATGTAGGAGTTAACAATATCAATAATTTACTCTGGCAAAGCCTAGAGTACTTTCCTAAGAGGCTGGCCAGTACTCTGGAAATTGCTTTATAGATTTTAATCAAGTAATGATGTCAAATTACTCTTTGAAAATTCATGTGGAGTAAGGGGATAAGCAGATACTTTCACTGACGTTTGGGAACTGCAGCTCCCCTTCCCTCCCTCCTTTTGCTTCTGTAACTATACAAGGGTTACTTACATATTTTAGGTTTAGTGTGAGGGTCTACATTAACAATATCCTGAAGCAGTTCTAGAATTATCATCAGTATTTCTGCATTCCTGGCAGCCCCTATGATATGATGCAAGCTGGCCAATGCTCAAGCCTCCACCTCTCACATTAACCTAGGAACACCCCTCAGACAATCCAATATCCTTACCTCCTTTAAAATCTAGCTTGCCTTTTTGACTCTTTAAACACTTATAAAGCATTGTAATATGCACTTGGATATTTTATCTCATTTCATTTTGCAAAAGATGAAATCCTATGAAGGATGTTGTAATATGCCCATTTTACAGAGGCAGTTTAGAGAGAAAAAATAATTGTTCAACATCACACACTTACTAAGCAGAAAAGCAGGAATTCAAAACCAGGTCTGCCTGACACTGAAGCCTTTGAACATTCCCTTTACTATGTAAACTTCATTCCTCCAGGATGACTTTGTGTTAAATTTAACTTTGCTCAACCCTCTATTTAGTATTCCCTGAATACTTAGCATTCTGGAAATATTCTCCCCCCTGTGATGTGTTCTTTAACTTATGCTTCTTTTATATATTCCCATAGCAACTAGTTCAAAGTTCTGTGATCATTCAGTCATTCATCAAACATTTATCTGCATCAGCTAAATGTACACTACAGCTAAGGATTAAATTCTCAAGAAGAATTACAATCTGATCTCTGCTCTCAGGGAATATGCATTCTTGTAGAGATGAGAGAAATACACAAGAAACTGTATGCAATGCAGCAGAGTCAGATAATGAATATAGGATGCTTAGATTATTTAATAAATAAACATTGAGTATTTAATAAATGGCAACTAGGATTCCTACTCAGTGGCATTTGAGATGGTCTTAGTGCGTGGATAGGATTTTACTTGGTGGGGATGAGAGCCAGGGGAGGACACACTGACTAGAAACCACACACGCATAAGCAAAAACAACAAGGAGACCATTTCTAGTCAAGTGAAGGGACTGGATCATGAAGTGTTTTGAATGCTGGACTAAAGAGAATAGACTTCATTCTGTGGAAAATGAGGAGACATTTAAACAGAAACCTTAAAAAAGAAAGATTTCTACAGCAGTGGCAGGTAGGAAAGATTAGTTATTGAAAGACTAGAGGCAGTCAGAGTGTTCCAGTGGTCCACATAAAAAGTAATGGATGGTTCAAACTAGGGTATGGGCCACAGGAACAGAGAAGCAACTACCCGCTCCCCCCCACCCCCCATCCTGGATTGTCATCTCTCACATGGACTTTCTGCAGTATCTAACAGGTTTCTACTTGTACTCTTGCAGAACTACAATCCAGTCTTTTTGCAGCCACCAGAATGAACTTGGGGGAAAAAAAGTAAATCAGATCTTGTCACTTTTTAAAGCCTCCCCTACCTCGTGATGACAATCTTTTGAGCCAGGAAGAAGAATGTAACTTTTGGGAGTGCCTGTTTGTGGAAGTTAGGAGGAGAAAAAGATGCCAGAAAGGAGACAAAAAAGAAATAGTTGGTTGAGAACAAGTGTAGTACAGTTTCACAGAAATCGAGGGATGATGTGGGTTATAAGAAGGGAGAAGTAGTAAAAACGTCATTGCCATTAGGAGCTCACTGATGTTCTCCAAACAAAACAAAACAAAACAAAACAAAACAAAACAAAACAAAACACAAAAAAACCAAAAAGCCAAACCAAACCAAAAAAACCCCGCCAAACCAAACCAAAAAACTCCACCAAACACAAGGCAGGGGAGGAAGCCAGACTGCAAGGGGTTAAGGATTAGTGTCAAGTGTAGCTTCCTCTTTGAAGAAATTTAATTGTGGAAGGAAGGAGTTAGTATATCAGGGGATGTAGAACTCATGAATGATTGCTTTTAGGACAAGAGAAATGCATATGTTTACAGACAGAGGGGAAGGAGTCTGTGGGGCTGTAAGAGTTCACTGCAAGGTGAGATCATGACAGGTTGGCAATATAAACAAGAAATGAGATTTGCCCTGGGTCTTCATGGACAGGCAGTGAGAGGAAGAGGGCAGGATACAGGATGGCCAACTGACACCCTAAAATCTAGACCAAAAAAAAAGCTGACATGAAAATGGATTGTTCTATGTGTTCTTTCAGATCCAGCAGCAGGTAGCTGAATACTTCAACGCACTTCTGAACTGGAAACAGTATCCTCATTTGGCATACAATGTGGCAAGATGATTCAAGTACAGAGAAAGATAAATTGTTGCAATGGGGCTCTCAAATTGGCAGCATATTCTTGCAGCAAATCTCGCAGGGTGGCAGGGTGGCAGGGTGGCTGGACCCTTGTTTATATTAAGATGGAGCACAATCCATGCTGCAGGTCCCTAATCTCAATTTGCCACATGCTTAAGCCCCAGATGGTCCTTAAATTGGGAAGAAAACCTTTCTCAAAGCACAGGATTTGCAGTTGGAAGACTTTAAGTTCAAAGGAAGGAGGTTGAATTTTGGCTCCAAAGTTTACCGCTGTGGTGACCCTGGGTAAATTCCTTGACTAACTCTCTTCAACCATTATTGCTAAAGCTAGTTTTTGAACCAGCAAGGTCAGGTTGGGCTGTGCCACTTCTCTTAGTGATCTCTCTTGTTTTCACTTGCTGGCAGAAATAGGCAGAAGGCAAAGAAAACACATTACAAAGGCACTACTCCTCTGGCTACCTTCTTTGTTCATTTCTGTCCATACAATCTGCCCACCGATGCCTCAACTGTACTTAACAGACTGACCCTTGTTTTAATGTCTTTTCCTTGGAGAGTTTCATTGTTGAGAATGTGAACTCTAGAGTCAGACTGCTTGGGCTCAAATCTCAGCTGTACTACTTACGAGCTGTTTGATCTTGAACAGTTTGCTTAAGTTCTCAGCACCTCAGTTCCCTCCTCTGTAAGATGGGGATGACAATATTCTCTAATCTCACACAGTAATTGTGAAGATAGAATAAGGTGGTTCATACCAGCTGCCTTATAACAATGTCTGGCATTTGGTAAGCACTCAAATATTGGTTATCATCCAAGAGATATTATGCCAAGTATTCCCTAATTTAGAGGAAAGTCTCCCCACACTATTTCCTTACCCCACATCACTACTGCAAGAGTATTGCTTGTGGTTTGAGAATAGGTCCTTGGCTTTGAGGCCTAGCCTTAAAAGAAATCAGACTTCTGCTAAATATAGGGCAACCATATCATCCAAACTGGGACACTTTTGAGAGTGACAAAGAGTGCTATTAATAATTATGCCAGGACAACAGGCATTAATGGAGACTGTCCTGGGCAAACCAAGCCCTAAGGTCACTCAGGTTTAATAGGAAATGAAGACTAAATGTGGACAACACTGTATTTATCTCCACTGCATTAGTGTAGGTACTAGGTACTAGGTACCTACACTAATTGGGAAGTGCAATGGGTGATAGTAGAGGTTTTTGTGAACTGTGGCTAAGAACAACAACTTTTGCCCCACCAGTTGCACAAAATTCCCACAGTGTAGTAAAACCTAATTAACCAGGATGGGACTGGAGACTGGTTCATCCTTACTGAATAAACCCTCACTTGTTACACAAAGGTTAATAAGTAGTATAAAGAAGATTCTGCCAAGTATTTATAATACTTAGGAGACCAAATTATCTTTAAGTACCCTCCAGTGGTACAGAAGCACCATTTGCACACAGTTGTAATTCTGAGTAAAAATCAGTCTTATTCATTCATCAGAACAGGTTCCCTATCATTATGATGAGCTCTGGGTGTTATATGTAGTGATGAATCACTAGAATCTACTCCTGAAACCAATACAGCACTGTAAGGTAACTAATTTAAATAAAAACTTGGAAAAAAAAAGAACAGGTCCCCTAAAGATGTCACTAAGCCCATTTTAATTTAGTGAGCCTAGTTTTGAGTGGGTATGTGTTTGAAAGATAAAAGTGCATTTATTTACATATATTATCTAACATGCTATATAACGTATAATATAGGATTTCTGTGTTAATATTATTCCACTTTGACCCAATTAGTGAGTTTTGACTGTACTGTACAATTAAACAGAGTATGTAAAAGAGAGCCACCAAAGAAACTCCAATCACAAAAAAAACACATAAAGTTTGGCACACTGGCATCAGATGTGATTTAATTGGACGTTCCAATTTTTAATTCTATTTTCAAAACATAAGAGCTTTTTAAAAAAAGGTCCAAGGTGTCTTTTAGTACCACATGCTTAAAATGAAGAAAACACAAATAGAGTTTTCCAAAAAGTTGCTTTCAGTGTGAAGTAGCACTGTATGGAGAGCGTAGTGTTGGACAACTTAGTAAACCCCAGGGGACGGCAGCCATCAGGGTTAGTCCAGGCAACTTAGCCTTGCAGGGGAGAGAGGGGCGGTTTTCACTTGGTGCCACTCCAGACGTACTTCCTGTGGTTTGTGCACACTTGCAGCCAGTGAAAAGACCAACAGTTTCAGAACAGGTTGTAAATTCTCTTTATCAGCGATCAGAAAATCATGTGATCCGAGAGCTACGTATTGTGTATTTCCATTTGCTCTAAGAGACCTACTAAAGAGGTCAGCCATCCTCTCTCATTTCCACTATCTGTTTTCTCTCCCCCTATTTCCTATGCTCACTTATTCATGTACTCAAAAGATTGTCACTGGTTCAGTGAGAATTGTTTAAAGAGCTCCGTGTCCCCCTCCCCATTCTTGGAGAAAAATCTGAAAACTCTGAGAGAAAGGAAAGGATTGAAGTAGGCAGTTACTTGAGTGCAAACAGGGAATTTAAGTAGAGTTTTTACACATAAATAAGGGGAAGGAGAGTGCTATGGACTGAGTATGTATCTCCCTCTGATATTCATACCTTGAAGTCTTATCCCCAGTGTGATGGTACTTAGAGGTGGGGGCTTTTCAAAGGTAATCAGGATTAGATGAAGTCATGAGGGAGGAGTTCCCATGACAAAATTAGTGCCCTTATTGAGAAGCAGAAGAGATGAGAGTACCTGCCCTGCCCACCCCTTTCTCTGCCATGTGAAGACTGCAGGAAGGTGGCCATTTGCAATCCAGGAAGATGGTCCTCACCAGGTGCTGAATCTGCTGGTGCCTCCACCTTGGACCCCTCAGCCTCCAGAGACTTGGAAAAATGAGTGGTTGTGGTCTAAGCTACCCAGTCTACTGTCTTTTATTACAGCAGCCTGAACTAAGGCGGAAAGTTAGGAGAAGCATTCTTCAAACAAGGCTACTTTAATATGGGACTAGGGAAAATGACTTAAGGATCCCTCCATTACCCTGTGTACGTAAGCCTGGAGGCCATGGTCACCACCCATCCACGTAACAAACACATATTTACATAGTCTGCCCAGTGTAGATACAGAGAGATATAATACAGACACATCGAAACTACTTATATTTAGAAAAATTGCCATGTATGCTTAGACATGCACCCAAATATAGGCATTTACAAGAAAGATAGAAGCCCACAGACACCAAAATATGCATAGCTACAAACACTAACTAGAATCAGTGAGTGAAAATGCAAGTGAGGAATTTCAGAACAGATGGGAAGGCAGGGAGTTGCTGGCGGGTCTAGGGCTGGATGCTGGCGAAAGTGAGTAGGCGAGTGAGACAGAGACACAGGTAAGGACCACCAAGGAAGGACTGCTTGATAAGGCAGCTGTAGACTGGACTGCTGGGTTCCAGTGTGCCAAAGACAGAGACTTCAATTGCCGTGCATGCTGTGTGTCAGCCCACTCTTCATAGACAAAGGTTGGAGCACAAGGCTCTCTTCAGTGCAATAACCTACTTCTGATTCCTTCTCTACTGCCCTGGTGTAAGATGCCACACAGGCATCTTCTCTTCTCCTTTCCTTTTGGGAACTGGGCTCCTGGCTCCCAGGTTATTCTGCATTTTCTGCTACAAATACATCTCTGAGTACCAGTCATCTTCACATGATGTGACTTCGGTTATTAATACAGAAATTCTTAAATATAGATGTTGCACTGGCATTGTTTGATATTTCCCCAAAGGGAGAGTAGCAATTATGTATGCAGATACAGAGAAGACAAAAACAGGGAGGATAATTCTACACAGAAAGGAGTTCACCACTCTGTGGGAGGCAACATGTGAGTAAAGAAGGAAACAACAATCTGGTACTCTCTTTTCCCCCAAAAAGGCACTTAGAATAGGTATTTCCAAGTTATGGCAGTATAAAAATCCAACAATTCAGAGTTTACCCACTTGGAAGAATGTCCCAAAGCAGCCCCCCACTCATTCACACAATAAAACTACACACGAGAAAAACCAAACTTTAGCAGTAAATTATTATTGATACCTGCTCTCCAAACAGTAGTTAGAAAACTATGTCTGTAACAGATCTAGAGAATAAAAACACATGCAAACTCTCAGGAACTGTGAAAGAATTAAGGCCTAGGACGGAGAGCGGGGTGGGGGGTGGGGGGTGGGGGGCGGGGGGGCAGCGTATTCCCTCAGGCTATGGTTCACTTCTAAAGCAATTAGTTTATCGGAACTTTCTGCTCTTCTTGGGTGGGATGGAATGGAAAAGGGCAGGGGAGGAGTGATCAGGCCAACATGCTTCAGTCTCATGCACGATCAATGGAGGCAGGAACCAGCTGTCAAAAGGCTCCCAGCAGCAAGGGCCCAAAGGCCTCACTGCATGGCGCAGATGCTGTGGGGCAGGAACTCCTGCACGTAGGTGGCAGCTGCCTTGGAGAGGTAGGTCATGGTGCCAAACCTGCCACTGGGTGCACTGTCATACAGAAGAGTACAGATGCCAGACGCAGGATCCTTGGCCAACATGGTGTCATCTGCACCGAGGGTCTTCTGTTTGGTTTTTAAGGGTGGGAGAACACAGGGGAAAGGCAAGATTACTAATCCTACTGATTAAAGTCCAGATTAGGATAACTCAGAGCCTCCTCCCATTGCCAACTAGTTGGGTCTTAGGCTGTTTAGGTGGGATGGGATCAGAGTTTGTCACAATATGTTGAATATGAATTTCTGTACATGCGTTTTCACTAGGTCCCCCAATCCTATAGCACTATTTGTATTGATTGCTTAGAATTCTTAAAAATTAAAGATAACAGTTAATTAAATGAGTTGTGTCTGTTAAGTGTCAAATATTAATAATGACAAATCACCTCAGAAGGACTTCGGTCTGAATCTTTCTAGTACCACTGATTTCAACCCATATTATTTTATCTTGCACTTGATCCTGATTTCTTTCCAAGTCAACTTAATTCAAATAGACTGTAAGCTTTCCAAGCTAGAGTTTATGCCTAAAATGGATCACATTTTTTTTTTTGGATATGTGGACTAAAAGCAATCCAGAATATTTAAAATTAGGACTGTCCTGGAAAATAAAAATAATTTTGATTTCTTTTGCATTCCCCCACAGTGCCGAATAGAATGAAACACCTATTAACGCATTATGGAGATTTTCCTATTGACAACAGTGCATGGCCTTCACCTTAGTATTCTTACTCTTCATCTAAGAAACATTTGGAAAGCTTTCAATAAAAAGTTTGCATTTCTTAAATGGATTGATTTCCTAGAAGAAGATCTATTGAGAAAAATTTTAAATGTAGAATTAAAAGTTTCATTTTAATATTGTCCTATAGGTAAGTAGCGAATGCAAAAACAAAACAAAACCAGGGCAAAAATCAAACCTTCTCTTTTCCCTAATAGTCCAAAAAAGGATATGCTATCCCACAGTCTCTTACTAAGTCTTTCTTGCTACAGAAAGTAAATTGATAAGAATGAAATATGATGAAAAGCATAAAAGCCTCATGAATTCCAGGCAACTTTACCATCTAATACAATAGCAAAACACTTGGTGAAAGACAGAGGTCCTCCCACCACCTACTTCTTTAGCCATCAGAGCTCAGAGCCACTCACTACAAAGGGGGCCCAGAAGAGAGCTATGAGAAAGAAAGTGCAAGAGAGTGACCTTGGCTTCATGAAGCACTCTGCAGTCAGGTTAGTGTCAGACATTCCCCTGTGAGGAAACAACAGGGTTGTTGCCGCTTGCCTACCTGTTCTTGAAGGAACAAGTCATTAGCAATATGTACTATTTTTTCCACGGCAATGATGCTTCCTATGCTATGAATTTCAATATCTGCCATCATGGTGAGGACAAGGATAGCTTCAACCAGAAGCTGGCGGTACTCGGGCTGAGGTACACGATTCAAAACCGACTCCACATGAACAGAGAATTTAATCTCGCCTGGAGTCATCTGTGATAGAGAAAAATAGAATCAATTCCTAAGAGCCCATCATCCGGGAGACATCAATTGCCTATTCTGAAAGGCAGTAAAAACAGTGTAGCCAAGAGCACTATCAGCCTCCTTCAAAGTACCTGAGTGAGTAAATTGGTTCAATCTTTTTGGAAGGCAATATGGCAATGAGTAACAAGAGTCATAAAAGTGTCAGTGCCCTCTAACCCACAGTCCCATTTCAGAGCCTTCGTCCTAAGTTAGTAATTCAAGAGAGGAAAAAAATAGCCCCATGTGCAAGAGTGTTTACAGCAGCATTAGTCACAAGTGTAAAACCAAAAGTAATCTAAACACGGGAATGGATGTGTAAATAATGGCACATCATGGGACAGCAACTTCATGAGTTTTTATAGAGTCATTTAAGAGAGTAAACATGACGACTGTGCATAAAAGAAAAATCTAAGTGGAACTTAAAGTTGTATTTACATGATGACTAGAATTATGTAGAACATTTATATACTGTTAGATTAAAATGGGCAGACATGAAGAAATAAAAAAGTTACTTTAGGGTGAACAGGATTGAGGAATAAGTTTGGGTAAAACTGTATTGAGTATATGGTGGCACTGGAGATTTGGACTTTATTTTTGTTTTTTAAAAGATTTTATTTATTTGACACACAGAGAGAGACAGTGAGAGAGGGAATACAAGCAGGGGGGGTGGGAGAGGGAGAAGCAGGCTTCCTGCTGAGCAGGGAGCCCAATGTGGGGCTCGATCCCAGGACCCCAAGATCATGACCTGAGCCTAAGGTAGACGCTCAATGACTGAGCCACCCAGGCAGCCCAGAGATTTGGGCTTTAAAGGCCAAGGTTCAAGTCCTGTCTTTGTCAGTTACTATTTTTATGGCCTTGAGCAATTTGTTTCCCTTAATTTGTTTCCTTTTCTATAAATTGGGAATTACAATCCCTTCTTTGGGCTGTCTCATATACCTGTGTTGAAGATCAAAGTAAAGAGCATGTGAAGGTACTTTGAAGACTTGTAAAGGTACCATTCAGGTATGTATTGTTATTAATTACACTAATATTTCAATCTTGCTTAAAAGCAGAGAAAGGACAAATAGAGGACACAGTGTTCTTTATTAGAGAAGAGGCCTCTAGGTACGAGGGAAACCCTGAAGCATAGCATTAGCTTCCTCCCCTGGCCCCTCCAGCCATTATCTGCAACAACGCCAGTGTTTTTGAGAATTTTCCACTATCCAATCTTACTATTCCTAATTTGCTAATTCTAGTTCCTTTGTTGGTTTTGTATAAAGGCTATTTTTATCATTTCTATGTGATTGGGCCAGAAGGGAAATATAAAGGCACCTGATAACATATGTGTGTAGTTCATGGCAATGTTTCCAACCATAGTTACATATTAGGCTCATTCTAAGGATTTTTTTTTTTAAGTACTGATGCTCAGGCCCCATCCCTGGAAATTTTAATCTGCTAAATTCGAGGTGGGCACTCAGCTTGCTGTGGCATACAGTTTGAGCTGAGGACCACTAGTTCATCATCTAAAAGTCTACAGGAACCCTAGTAGAGAAAGATGGGGATGAGAAGGATGGGAACATGAGAGGTCATCCATTCTTAGATCTCTATCTTGTCTGTCCTCTCTGACTCCGGCCACACTCACACAAACCAGCCCAATTTAGTCAACCACTAAATGAGGCTGTCCTTATATAATTCATAAAATATGTAATTACTCTCTCATATTCCCATTCTGTTTTCAAAAAACATTCTCTCCTTTCTTCCAATGCACTCCACTTTAGTTGATTTGGAGTCATAGAACAATTATTTTGAAAAATGATCCCTGAAATACTTTAGCTATACAATCAGTCACATAAATGTGAAAGACACAAAATCTCACCTCTCTAGTGGTTGAAGAAGGAAGCACAAAACCTTCCACAGAGAGTCCGTGACACTGCAAGACAGCAAAAACATGTTGTCACCAAGGATATACTGACAACTGGGGCCTGTAAGGAGACACTTAGTATTTCTAAGTGTGCTCCATTGGGTAGATGCTGAGTAATCCCAGGCCAGTGAAAGGCCCTGCAGCCCAAGTGTCCTTGCCAAGGGGTTGTAATTACTGTGTGGCAAGAAGCACGGGTGGACTACAGGACATGCAGGGTTTACCCTCTATTTAAAGGAGTGAGAAAGATAGAGAAGTTCTACCTTCTGGGAGAGACTAGCCCCAAAGATTCAGAGACTATCTGAGAGGTCTCGTGCTAGGTCCCAGATGCATCACTAATTGGCTTTCAGAAAGATTTTTAGGCTGAAGAAAACTCAAAACCTGTACTTGAAGACATGTATAGTTACCGCTTTTTCTAGTGAAGCATCCCCCATCGGCACTGTTGATGATGCCCTCATCTCGCTGTACTTTTTCCCATACTACTTGTCATCTTTTAACATTCTAGATAATTTACTTATTTATTATGTTTATTCTTTATTGTTTGTCTCTCCCTGGGGGAATGCAAGCTCCATAAGGGCAGAGATTGTTGTCTATTTTGTTCTTTGCTCTATCGCTGTTAACACCTAGGACTCTGCCTAGTGCACAACAGATGCTTAAGAAATACTACATAAATGAATGACATCTTATCTTCTTTCACACCATCAACTCATTTATTAAAAAGCAATGGGAATTAATGACTTGCCATTTTAGATGTTACGTAAATCAAAACAGTATATAGTAAGCAACAAAGATTCCAATCCCATAGGTTTACTGACTCTGGTACCAGATACTTCCATCCCATGTTTCATATGCCAAATAACAGTCTTTGTACAGAGAATTACCAGCCTGCAAGCATATGTGCAAAGTAATTATGTTACATTCATCCTCTAAAAGGAGTGGAATGACAAAGCAGAGGGCATCTGTTTTTCCTCTTACATGAGGGTTCCAAGTCCAGGGTTTGATTCTGCCACAAAATAGTCAATCTTCCTAGTCATTTAAATGTTCCTTTTCTTGTAGTCTCAAGGCCTTAAAGTTTTGCACCTTTATCATAACACATCTTAGCTTTGTATTGTACCTGCTATTTAAGAAGGTAACTATGGATTAAACTCCCTGATGACAAAAACACATACCTTCCACGTATCTGGGGTAGAACAGCACTTACTACATGTCTGTGAAATAGAATTGCCATAGCGCAGGCATAACTGTACAGATAAAATACCTGTCTGTAGAGGTTAGAGAGAGGAAAGCAAGTTTTAAGTACTCTTTGAAAAGAAGATTGCCAGAGCTGGTAGTCTGAAGAATCAACTTTCACCTTTCCCAAAGATCACCTGTTTCTGTCCTTAGAAGAATGAATATCAGTATACTAAGGGGAGAAATGTAACTAAAGGTTTTGAAGTCCTGGATGAAATTTTCTTCAGGTCCTTGTCAAGGGTAATGGGGCAGAAAGTGGCACCTAAGAAACTATAAGTGAGACCCATGAAGTAGTACAGTGGACTTCCTGGCCCTCTAAAGTTGTCACAGTCATAATGGTGTGAGGTCCCCTTAACTGTCTTTGTCAAGCTAAGCCTTTGAAAGAAAAACAAAAATTGGCCATGCCAACAGAGTCTTTGGGCCATTAGCATCACTAGGATTTTGGATTTATTTAGTAGTTTTCATCCGAGAAAAAAATATAATAGATTCTTACACTAACTCCTCAGATACCACAGTCATTTCACAATAGTGTCAGCACATTGCTACAAAAAACATTTCAACTCTACAGTAGCTACAAAGAAAGTGGGCTCTTTGCGGCCAAATTTGATAAGCAACAAATGTATCACAATGTCCAACAATGTTCAACTATGGCCAACAGCAGAGAAGCCATGATTTTTGAAATCTAATTTATAAACAAGACTATAACAACAATAATAGAAAGAGACTGAATCATAAATAATACAAAAAAATCCCAAATAACTTTGCTGATGAGGTCTTCTTCTATGGTTTGTCCATAAGAGCATATGACATTTATATAATTGTGGTGATGTCACAGTCATGTCATATCCCAACCAAGGGGCCTTGAGGATATCAAGGGGGAAAATAAAGAGATGTCTACAATGTGTTATGCTCACCTTCTGTAAAACTTTCCATACTTTTTGATAAAATCCAACTGGCACTCTGTTCAGTGCTCCATCTAGCCTTCTTCGACGTTGCCACTGACCTTGACGACTATCTTTAGATGTCTGTTGACCAAATGCACTAGGAAAAGACCCACTACTTGAAGCCACAGGTGTTCCAGGTGACTTGGGAGAAAAGGAGAGGAAAGAACGTGAAGAAAAAGTCATCTCTGTTCCTCGACAGAATAATAAACACACTGTAGAATTAGAAACCACATACTAAGTGTAACATCCAAGATAAAGAGGTTACAGCGAAGCCAGTAGACTTAAGAGTAGCTAGCAACAATGTAAACAGATACAATCTTTTAAGAAAGCAATCTAGTGATACTTAAAAGGAGCCATAGAAATATTGATCATCTAGGAGGTTCTTAGCTGTCTCTATCCTTGGTTATCTCTGTTAAACTTCTAGCTGGTCTATGCCTTAGTCTGCTGCTTTCAACACACGCTTCAATCAAATTAAAAGAATTGAAATCAGACCAAGCATGTCCTCTGACTACAGTGAAATTAAATTAGAAATCAGTAATAGAAGGAAATTTAGGAAATTTACAAATATGTGGAAATCAGATAATATACCCCTAAGTAACTGGTGGTTTAAGAAAGAAATCACAAGGAAAATTAGAAAATACTCTGAGATAAATGAAAACACAGCATAGTAAAACTTAAGGGATGCTAAAACCGTGCTTAAAGAGAAATTTATGTTATAAATATTTGTATTAAAAAAGAAGTAGGGATGCCTGGGTGGTTTGGTTGGTTAAGCATCCACCTTTTGATTTTGGCTCAGGTCATGATCTCAGGGTTGCGAGATCAAGTGCTGCATCAGTCTTCGTGCTGGGAGTGGAGGTGCTTTATGATTCTCTTTCTCCCTCTTCCCTTTGCCCCTACCCCCTCTCCCCACCCATGTTTTCTCTTTCTCTCTCTCTCAAAAAAAGATGTTTTTTACTCTTGCTACTTCTGATCAGCATTGTAACAGAGGTTCTAGCCAGTGATATTAATCAAGAAAAGGAATAAACATCATCCAGAATGGAAAGGAAGAAGTAAAACTACATCTGCAGGTGACATGATCTTATATAGAAGGAATTCACAAAAAAGCAATTAGAACTAATAAATGAGTTCAGTAAAATTGTACAATATAAGATCAGTATAAAATCAACCATATTTCTAAATAGTAGCAATCAATAATCTGAAAATGAAATTAAGAAAACAATCTCATTTAAAATAGCATCTGAAAGAATAAAATACGTAGGAATAAATTTAACGAAAGAAGTACAAAACGTATACTCTGAAAACTTTAAGACATGTTGAAAGAAATTACAGAGTGGAAAGAAATCCCATGTTCATAGGTCAGAAGACTTAACATTGTTAAGATGGCAGTACTCTTGAAATTTATCTACAGATTGAACACAACCATCATAATCCCAACTGGGTTCTTTGCAGAAATTGGTGAGCTTATCCTAACATTCATATGGAAATTCAAGGGACCCATGATAGCTAATACAATCTTAAAAAAAAAAAAAAAGACCAAAGTTGGAGTTGCCTTAATCTCTTCAGTTTAAGAAATCTGAAATCATAGACCACTACATTATGAATCATTGATTTAAACCAACGACATTTAATCGGATATCAGTCTTCCTAAAATGTAACCTTCATGGGGCACCTGGGTGGCTCAGTGGGTTAAAGCCTCTGCCTTCGGCTCAGGTCCTGATCCCAGGGTTCTGGGATTGAGCCCCGTGTTGGGCTCTCTGCTCAGCAGGGAGCCTGCTTCCCTTCCTCTCTCTCTGTCTGCCTCTAGGCCTACTTGTGATCTCTGACTGTCAAATAAATAAAACATAAAATGTAACCTTCATGAGTGCAAGGACCAAATATGTTTTGTTCTCTATTGTATTTCCAGTGCCTGGCACAAAACTGGCACTCAATTAATATTTACTAAATAAATTAATAATCAGAACAATAGCCAATTCAGTGGTTTTCAGACTTAAAAGTGCATCAGAATCACCTAGAAAGTTTATTAAAGCACAGATTGCTAGGCCTCACCCAAGCCTTTCTAATTTAGTAGGCCTAGGGTAGGGATCAAGGTTTTATACTTTTAAGAAGTTCCCAGGGGTTGCTGATACTACCCAGCACAGTGCCTGGCAGATAGTAGGCATGCAATTAATTATAGTATTTGAAAGAATAAGTGTATAAACAGACACTTAGCAAATACTTATTAAATTGAATTTTGCTTTCTGAAATAGAAAAGAGGCTGGAGTTGAATCTCCTTCCCTACCCTTTTGGGAAAACAAATAGAAAGATTTTATCCCCATACATGAAGTTGATTTATACTTATTTTTTTGTTCTTGATTCATTTGTTTATCTTTTCAGTCAGTCAGTATATGTCATGACTTACATAACAGCACACTCAAAGCACTTATGATTGGTATATAATATAACAGCAGTTACCAGAAAAGACGATGACATCAAATCTATACCCAAGGGATGACCACCATTGGACTATAAAAAAAATTGACAAAATAAGATTTTCAAAGGGATGAGGCAAGGCAAACATTTGTGTTTTTAAAAGTTATTAGTAGAATAAAATTACAGACAATTCAAGTAACTAGCCAGCATGTTATTTAAAACGCTGATGAAACAGCCTTACTCTAGAAGTCATGGTACCTTTACAAAAAACAAAAACAAAAAACAAACAAACAAAAAAACCCGACCCTTAAAAATATTTTTTCCATGATCAGAAAAAAGGGGATTGGTGAGTGGTAGAGAAAAGGACTTAGAACAATAAAAAATACCAGAGAGGCAGGTAAAGACAGAAATCAATAATTAGAAATTAGAAAGTAATGAAAATTTAGCACTCTCAATCATCAAAATTATAGTCCTAATGATTTGGGTTCTTTTGAAGTCCTATAGGTAGTGGATGCATAAAAAAAGAATTAAATGATATAGCTGCATAGGTCAAGTTCTTAATATCCTAGTAATCTAGCTGTGAACACAGACTTCAAGCTCTAAATACATAATGAACTTGTAAGTAATACCGTGTGACTATAAACAACTGTAAAATGGTTAGCCAATCACCCTTGGCCAAAAAAAAGGATTGTTTGACAACAACATCAGTTTAACTCTTCAGTATGAAGCATAGTTCTTTCACCTTTCAGATAGGAAAATGTTCAGATTATCTAAATAATCTGCAAAAAAACCTGTAGAAGTGACCACTTTTCTATTACAAAGCCATTTCTTATTCCATTCAGTTCTTGCCCTTGCATAATATAAATCTGAAAAGTTTCCTTCAAATTGAACTTCAAGCATTGGCCTCATTCTTGTCCTTAATTGTTCTGACTCCTACAAAACCCCAAACAAATAAAATTTCCATTTTGTTTCTCCTCCTCTGGATGTGCTAATTCTGCAAGCTACCATAAATCAATTTGGAAGGCAGGAGGAGTAGTTTTAAGATTTTCATAAAAAACGCTATTGGGGGAGACCAACTCAGTACCTTCTCAACTCAAAGACTCTGAAATTACATGATTCCCCAGAGTTTTGAAAGAAGCTATGGAAGTTTATGTTAAGTATTTCTTTTTAGAGCACAATAATTTGCCTATTGTCATGTGCAGGGAAAGATGAGTAAGAGGCTACAGTATGATGTTCAAGGACTCCCACCAACTCCCATACTGATTTAGATGTTTTTTCCTCGATGTGTCCACATACTTTTCATATACCTCTATCATGACAATGATAAAAATCTAATTTGGGGACAATGTCTGAAAGTAGATTTTTTAAAAGGCCATCACCTCATCTGGTGTTCTCTCTAATACCTGTTCTTAAAAGTAAGGAATTGGAGACTAGTTTCATAAAGAAAATTCATTCCAAAATTATATGTTAATTTAAACAAGAGGAATTCAGGGTTTCAATTTCTTGTTATCAGAAGCAAATTACCTCCCTCCTAAAATTAGTAAAATAGTTTGGTCTAGAAGAAGAAAATGATCTGCAAAATGAATGTTACAATGGAGAATCAAACAAGCTGCTGTGTGGTTTATTATCTTATTTGTAAAAAGGCCATGAACTCATGCATGTTATACATGCCTAAAGGCAGGTTAAATTATGTTAAAGGGTCCCTAGTTGTTTCACCTGACTCTCAGTTGAGACAGATAGTCTACGAAATTCCACCTGAAAAAAAAATGGCTCTGATTAAATGCAGGATAGGAAACAAAATACACCATCCCAACAAAGTCTGATTCCAAAAGAAGGTTCTTAAACATGACAATATCCTAGCTCATCTCCCGAGATATCAAGATGTCTTACCTGCTTTATCTCACTTTTTAACTGCATTATCCCAGTTCGTTCTGTTTTGGTTGCCCCAACAGCACCAATCTCGTGGATAGAGATAGCAGGGCTAACATTTGAATCAGTGGGACGAACTACATAGCATGACAGATTAAAGAGAAAGAGAGGATAATTAGGTTCAAATTATTTTCTCTGCCAAGCTTAAAAGACTTGGATATGTGTCCTCCTTTTATGTTAATAATAATAAAAAACAACCAACCAACTATAACCTTGCTATTCAAAGTGTGGTCCACGGACCAGCAGCACCAGCATCTCCTAGGAGCTTGTTAGTTGAATCTTGGGTCCCACTCCAGGCCTACTGAAGCAGTTTGCATTTTAGCAAGTTTCCCAGGTTATTCTTATGCACAGTAAGGCTTGAGAAGCACTGCTTTATATCTTTTTTTTTTTTTTTTACCACTCTGGGGTCTAGTATCCATCCACCTGACATTGTATATTTCTTTATCCTAAGCCCGAAGTTGAGCATGAGAGATAAACTTTTTCATTTGCCCTGTTTTAGGTGCTTGATACCAAATTCCACAGACAAACCACCAAGTGCAGGTGGAGGATTAATTTGTGAATGACTCCAAGATGTGTCTGAATTCAAAGGTGAAAGGATGTATCAGATGCATTGTAACAGCTTCATACACATAGGCACACCACTGTAAATGCTATTGAATTATTGCCAAATGGAATACAAGAAAGTTTCAAGTGATATGGGTTGCTGGTTGTCCTAAAGTGGACATTTAGGATAATGTAAAGGAATAGATAGAGCAGTTCAAAACAAAACATGGTAGTAATCTACTTAGAGGATATATCATTTAAGGAGAAAAAAGAGACATACAGTAGTTTCCAAATCTTGTTCCAGAAGACAGCTTTGTTTTTAACTGTTTCGTATATTGGGTTTCTATTTAGTTGGGGGAAAGGTTCCTCTGATAAAAGAAAAACATTTTAAAATCAATGGGATAAAACTAACACTCTAAAATGTAAATGCCATTACTCAAATCTTACCACTTCGTTCCACTCCAAACTCCTTGCCACTGAGAATGTGATGCAGGAGGTTCTTCATGGCCGAAGGACTGAGATTCATGAGGCTGTCTGTGGCTTCTTCAGCTAGTCATAAGAAATGTTAAGACGTTGTTAGTGTATAGAAATGCAACTGATTTCAGCACAGTGATTTTATATCCTGCCAATTTGCTGAATTCCTGTATGAGTTCTAGCAATTTTGGGATGTAATCTTTTGGGCTTCCACATAGAATGTCATGTCATCTGTGAAGAGTGAAAGCTTAACTTCTTCTTTGCCAATCTGGATGCCTTTTATCCTTTTATTTCTTTTTGTTGTCTGATGGCTGAGTCTAGGACTTCTAGTACTATGTTGAATAGCAGTGGTGAGAGTGGATAACCCTGTTGTGTCCCTGACCTTAGAGAAAAAGCTTTGTTTTTCCCTGTAGAGGATGATATTTGCTGCGGGTTTTCCACATATGGCTTTTCTGATATTGAGGTACGTTCCCTCTATTCCTACACTGTGGAGAGTTTTAAACAAGAAGGCATGCTGTACTTTATCAAATGCTTTTTCTGGATCTATTGAGAGGATCATATAGTTCTTGTCCTTTCTTTTATTAATGTGGTGTATCACATTGGTTTGCAGATGTTGAGCCACCCTTGCAGCAAAGGCAAGGAAAGGAAGCAAAAATGATCTACTAGAACTTCATCAAGATAAAAACTTTTGCACAGCAAAGGGAACAGTCAACAAAACTAAAGGCAACCTACAGAATGGGAGAACATATTTGCAAATGCCTTATCAGATAAAGCGCTAGTATTCAAAATCTGTAAAGAACTTATCACATCCAACTCCCAAAAAACAAATAATCTACCCTAGAAATGGGCATAAAACATGAAGAGACATTTTTCTAAAGAAGAAATGGCAAATGGCCATTAGACATGAGAAATGTCTAGATACAGAAGAAATACTATTGGCAAATGGCCAATAAACATGTGAAAAAATGCTCAATATCCCTTGGCATTGGGAAAGTACAAATCAAAACCACAATGAGTGGGGCACCTGGGTGGCTCAGTAGGTTAAGCGTCTGCCTTCCAGTCAGGTCATGATCTCAGGGTCCTGTGATCAAGTCCCGAGTTGGGCTCCCTGCTCAGTGTCTGCTTCTACCTCTCCCCTCCCCCTCCTTGTGCTCTCTCTCTCTTAAATAAATAAAATCTTAAAAAAAAACCCACAATGAGATACCACCTCACACCAGTCAGAATGGCTAAAATTGACAAGTCAGGAAACAACATATGCTGGTGAGGATGTGGAGAAAGGGGAACCCTCTTAACACTGTTGGTTGGAATGGAAGCTAGTACAGCCACTGTGGAAAATAGTTTGGAGGTCCCTCAAGAAGTTGAAAATAGAGCTACCCCAACGACCCAGCAATTGCACTACAGGTATTTATCTGAAGGATACAAACATAGTGATTCGAAGGGACACCTGCACCCCAATATTTATAGCAGCATTATTAAAAAAGCCAAATTATGGAAGGAGCCCCAATGTCCATTGACTGATGAATGGATAAAGAAGTGGAGAATATATATATATATATATATACATATATATATATATTTATATATATGAATATGAATGAATATATATATACATATATATATATTTAAAGATTTTATTTATTTGACAGAGAGAGATCACAAGTAGGCAGAGAGGCAAGCAGAGAAAGAGAGGAGGAAGCAGGCTCCCTGCCAAGCAGAGAGCCCGATGCGGGACTCGATCCCAGGACCCTGAGATCATGACCTGAGCTGAAGGCAGAGGCTTAACCTACATTTTTAATATATATATATATAAATATATATATATATATATGTATGTATATATATATATATTTATATGTATATATTTATATATATAAATATATAATTTTTAAAATATATATAAAATATATAATATATATAATTTTAAAAATATATATATAAAATATATAATATATTATATATATAATGGAATATTACTCAGCCATCAAAAAGAATGAAATCTTGCTTTTTGTAATGATATGGTTGGAGCCAGAGAGTATTACGCTAAGCAAAACAAGTCAGTCAGAGAAAGACAAATACCATATGATTTCACTCATATGTGGAATCTGAGAAACAAAACAGATGAACATGGCAGGGGGAAAGAGAGAGAAAACAGACTCTTAACTATATAGAACAAACTGAGGGTTACTAGAGGGGAGGTGGGCTGGGGGATGGGTTAAATGGGTGATGGGAATTAAGGAGTGCACTGGTAGTGATGAGCGCTCGGTGTTGTAAGTAAATGATGAGCCACTAAATTCTAGACCTGAAACTAATATTTCACTGTATGTTAACCAACTAGAATTTAAATAAAAACTTGAAAAAGAAAAAATAATAACCACAGTTAATAAGAGCTTACTGCATGTAGGTCATGACTTTAGTAACAAACAGTTATGACAAGTACTTGACTTTGAGAAGTTTAACAGCTAAGAAGTTTAACAGCTATTTGGGAGAGATTACACATGTAAACAAGATAAATAATAATGAAACATGTCTATACTAAGTACCAAATGAGAATTATAGACAATAAATGCTTTGGAAATCAGAGGAGACATCAGTCTCCAAGGATGGTAACTGATAAAATTAGTGGGAAACGCATCGGGCTCTCTGCTCAGCAAGGAGCCTGCTTTCCTTCCTCTCTCTCTGCCTGCCTCTCTGCCTACCTGTGATCTCTGTCAAATAAATTTAAAAAAAAAAATTAGTGGGAAATACTGTGAAAGTAGGAGGTAGGACTGTTGACATTTCGAGTATCACACCCAGGGATCTTGATTTCATTGTATAAGAAGTAAAGAGCCATGGTTTTGATGAATCCACAGGAAAAAAAATCTGTAATAGGAGATGAAAGATAACTGAAGAATGGGGTTTTTTCCTTGTTGAGGCTTACGACTAAATAATTAGACCCTGGGGCGCCTGGGTGGCTCAGTGGGTTAAAGCTTCTGCCTTCGGCTCAAGTCATGATTCCAGGGTCCTGGGATTGAACCCTGCATTGGGCTCTCTGCGCGGCAGGGAGCCTGCTTCCTCCTTTCTCTCTGCTTGCCTCTCCGCCTACTTGTGATCTCTGTCTGTCAAATAAATAAATAAATAATCTTTTAAATAATTAGACCCTAATAAAACATCCCTGCATGTGTGTGTGTGTGTGTGTGTGTGTGTGTGTGTGTGTGTGTGTATAAAACGCAATACATGTAATCCATAACAATGTGCTGAACTGGAAATCATTTGGAATCAGCAGACTTGGACTCAAATGGTACTATTTACTAGGCAAGTAAAGTTACTATATAGCTTTAGGCAAGTTATTTAATCTGAGATTCAGATGATTTATTTAAAAGTAGAACAAAAATATCTTCTCCAGAGCATGGTCATAAGGATTAAATGAGATAATGTATGTAAATACAAAGCAAAAAAGCCCAGAGTCTAACATATGGTAGGTATACAATAATCATTAGCTCTTTTCCTTCAAAAGGTTATTTTAATATTAATTATGTAATTTAGATTAGACTCAAGCCAATAAATTTAGCTACTTGTTAATAGCTCAAGTAAAAGCCTTTCGGGGAAAGGTAACAGAAATAATGGCTAAAATTGAGTTTTGCAACTTTAATTTCACTTTTGTAGGTAATCTCTATCTCTGTTATTTCACCATTCTTGTTGCAATCAAACAAATACCAATGAAAAAAAAATAGTCACACCATGGCAGTCCCTTTCCCTCCCTCACACTTTATAGAATTTTGTACGGCAGTTTCCATAGGCCCCTGTTTTTCTTCTAACTAAACCTGTTATCTTGCCAAATACACCTACAGTTAATTTCAAGGAGAGTACTGTCAGGTAAATATCAATAGAAATATGGTATTCCTTTATTCCATCCTGTTATTGACTAGACAGAATACTGACAATATGATCAAACTGATGTGGTGACTTAATCTGGGGTCAAGAAACTGCACTGCCAGGGTGCCTGGATGGCTCAGTGGGTTAAGTGCCTGCCTTCGGCTTCAGTGGGATCGAGCCCCACATCAGGCTCCCTGCTCAGCGGAGAACCTGCTTCTCTCTCTCCCTCTGCCTACCGTTCCTCCTGCTTGTGCTCTGTCTCTTTCTGTCAGATAAATAAATAAAATCTTAAAAAAAAAAAAAGAAACTGCACTGCCCGAGTCAGAATCAAACCCAGTCTGTCACATTCAAATTTGATGCATACTTAGGCTCACACTAGGAGTTGGAAAGAATGTAATTTGGAGTGCAGAGCCCCCAAGAGGTGGAATTGTAAAGTTGCAGAACAAATACATAAATCTGTCATAATACCAGTCTCGTGATTTGTAGAAATAGAAGTTGACTAACATGGGAACAAGATTGCTATATGCAGCTTCTGAGCTGCTAATAAAATGTTTTTGCTTTTTTTCCCTCCCAATCCAAAACACAATAGCCCTACATTAATAGTGAATTCTGCCAAAAATAGTTACTAAAATGAGTACCTGAGCATCGGAGGGAGTGGGCCAGTTCTGTAGCCATAACTTGTATGATTAGACCAATTCGAAGTCGAAACATTTCGGCAAAGAGGCTAGGCTGAGTTCTCATATACATGGCTAGATATACCATTATTTCCTGTGCGTGGAATGAATATAGAAAAAGTTATGGTCCAGGTCTCACAAAGCGCATTTGGTAGTCTTTGGAAACTGCCAGATCAAATGAAAACAAAAATATCAATCACCATATTAGATGTCATAATTCTGCTCACCTGTGTAAGGATCGAGATGCTCATGTCCCCTTCACTGGCTTCATCTATCAGCTGAGTGAGCACTTCATAGGGCAGAGGTCTGAGGGAGAAGATGGTGAAGAAAGACAAAATTCTGTCACTGTTTAAGCTTCAGTACACAGAGAAAATAAAAAACCTCCTCCCAAGTCCAAGTCACTGCTTCAGTGTTTAATCGTTGTTGGTAGCATTTGGTTCATTCAGTCCTTAAAGTTCATTGCCTTCCCAAACCACTTTGGCCTCTGTCAACTCAGGAGAGCTCTCCTCTTTCCTCTCTAAAGCTGGATTGCCTTTCTTCTTCAAACTTTTATTTAAAAATCACCCACGAGGTCTTTCCAGATCAGTCTTTCATGGTTAATTCTTAACATATGACAAGTAACCATTATGGCCAGAAAGTAATAAACTAAATTTAAGCTTTGCCTTTTGGAAACCATTTTGTTATTTTATGATCATACCTTAGTTATATTGATTTTATAGTTTCATCAGTTTACACACACACACACACACACACACACATACACAGAAATAAGCATACCTCTTCCCACACTTCTGACCCTCCTTTGATACTAATCACTCTGGAGGAATGGGGCATGGACAATGCCATCTTCTTTTGGATTGCCACAGTAGTGGCAAAAATTGATCTGATTTGTGATAAAAAGATTCTGTTTGCTGAGAGTAAGGTATTATGGGTTGAATGTGTGCTGTCAAAGTTCATATATTGAAATCCTAGCCTAGAGTCCCTCAGAGTGTGACCTTATTTGGAGATGAGGTTTTTACAGAGGTAATTAAGTTCGAGTAAGGTCATTGATTGGGCCCTAATCCTTTATGCCTGGTGTTCTTATATAAAAATTTGGGAAATCTGGACACAAAGACACATATAGAGGGAAGAATTGTGAAGAGACGTAAGGAGAAAACAGCTATCTATAAGTCAAAGAGAGAGGCCTGGAAGAAAGTCTAGAGTATAGCAGATATTTTGTGGATGCTAATTCTAGTTGCCTGCCCTGTTTTGGACTGCCTTTGGATGTAAGGCTCAGGAAAGCCAATAAGTAAAAAACAAGTACAAAAACAAAAACCATCACCACCACCACCGCCACCGGAAAAAAAAAAAACATAAAAAGCAAACTACATTTGCATAGTGCTCCTTGTGGATATACTCTTTCATTCACTCATGCCCTGTCATTATCAACATTCTCATGCCAAGTGTCTCTGACAGAAGCCCACAGATGTAGGCCATTATCATTCAGTAACAGATTAGGGAAAGAGAATTGTGGTCAGTTCACACAGCTCCTTAAAGTCTCAGAGAAACTTGATCGAACCCAACCAAAAACCATACTCACGCAGAGATGGTCTTCTCTCGAGGTTCTGGAGGGAGTCCTACTGTCAAATGCTTCTGGTGGGAGAGAAGGGCTGTGCAGGCCTAAGAAGAGAGAGCATAACAGCATTATCCTTCCCATACCACTTCAGCTTTCCATGACAATTACTCTCGGCCCACAGACATCTGCTTCCCCTTAATTTATTGAGACACCAAACCATCTTTCTCAGGAAATATATAGATCCGAAGAGAGAGATTTTTCAGAAGAAACAATGAGGTATTTTTATCTCCTAAGAGATAGGAAGTTTTATTCTACTGTAAATTCATTCTTTTTTTTTTAAAAGATTTTATTTATTTATTTGACAGACAGAGAGAGATCACAAGTAGGCGGAGAGGCAGGCAGAGAGAGAGGGGGAAGCAGGCTCCCTGCTGAGCAGAGAGCCCAATACGGGGCTCGATCCCAGGACCCTGAGATCATGACCCGAGCTGAAGGCAGAGGCTCAACCGGAGCCACCCGGTGCCCCACTGTAAATAAATTCTTTTTATTTTATTTTATTTTTTTTTAAAGATTTTATTTATTTATTTGACAGAGATCACAAGTAGGCAGAGAGGCAGGCAGAGAGAGAGGAGGAAGCAGGCTCCCCGCTGAGCAGAGAGCCCGATGTGGGGCTCGATCCCAGGACCCCGGGATCATGACCTGAGCCGAAGGCAGAGGCTTTAACCCACTGAGCCACCCAGGTGCCCCTGTAAATAAATTCTTAAGCTGTAGAATTCTTATCATTTATAACATCTTATCATTTATAAACTTCAGTATTGTGCACTTGACATTCACAGACAAAAAACTAATTGAGTATCAGGAAATTTATGCCAGAAAGACGTCTCAAATGATTAGATGTTGTGCTTGCCTTAAAAATCAAGTATGGGGAACTTGGCTGGCTCAGTCAGTTAAGCGACTGCCTTCAACTCAGGTCATGATCCTGGAGTCCTGGAATCGGGTCCCCGCATTGAGCTCCCTGCTTGGTGGAGAGTCTGCTTCTCCCTCTGACCCTCCCCCTTCTCATGCTCTCTCTCATTCTCTCTCAAATACATAAATAAAATCTTAAAAAAAATCAATTATGGAAACTGATTTTTAAAAAGCACCTCCATTTAGATTTGGTATCAATTCAAGCAGAATTTATAGTACCTCATCAAGTGCTTCCACCTTTTTCCTTAAGATTCCAGAGATGTGTCGGGTCAGGCCCCAGTGACGGATTTCTCCAACTCTGACATAGAGCTCAGTAAGCAGCTCTCGGACTGTCGTAGCCCCTTCATCATATAATTCAGGGTCCCAGTCAGGTCCTCTGGAATGTTAAAGAGAGACCTACATTAGTTTAAGTAAAGCTGCTGGCAACAATCATTTGTTTCAGTGTTATAACAGACACACCTGTTTTTTGATAGGTCTTCCTCGTTAGGCAATAAAAGTTATTTACTAGGAATCCTTGTAAATGTATGATTAATAGTTGCCCCTGAAACCCAAATACCTAGATGAGAACAAGTCTTAGTTTCAGGTGTGCTTTGACAAAACGCGTTCTTTTACTCTCTTCACAGGCTTTGACATAGCTGAAAACAAAGTCAAAGACTTATTTTAACTATTGAAAGTTCAGGAAGTATGCTACACTTAGGAAACTAATAGAGATTTAAGAAAAAGATGTGTGTTTATTTGTAAAGGATACATGTACATTATTCTTGTAAAGATTACTATAACACAAGTCAACTGTGAAGTATCATAAAATATATGTAAAGTGCTATGAAATTGAGAATTTAATTTACGATGAAGGTAGATTATTTATTAAACAATGTTAAGACAATCAAGTAGCCATCTGAAAAAGAAGCTGGATTCATGCCTTACACTGAACATCAGAATTCCAAGTATATCAAAGATTTAAGCGTAAAGGTACTAGAAAAAATTTGGGAGAACTACTTTATAACTCTGGGGGCAAGAGTACCGTTTAACTATAACCTATAAAAAGAAGCCATAAAAGAAAAAGTGATTTATATACATAAAAACAACAAAATACATATTGCAGAAAACCACTATAAGCAAAGTTGTCAGACAAACTACAAATAGAAAAATATTTACAATTCATAGGCCAATTTCCCTCATATAAAGAAATTCAACAGAGGCGCCTGAGTGGCTCAGTTGGTTAAGCGTCAGATTCTTGATTTTGGCTCAGGTCCTGATCTCTGGGTCATGAGGTAGAGCCCTGAATTGGGCTCCACACTCAGTGGGAGTCTCCTTCTTCTCTCTCCCTCTCCTTCTGCCCCTCACCCCGCTCATGATCTCTCTCTCTGAAAGAAAGAAAGAACTGCAACAAATAGATAATAAAAAAAGAAAAGACAGATAAGAAAATATGGTCAAATACTCATGGATTTATTTTTTTTTATCATGACCTGAGCTGAAGGCAGCTGCTTACCTGACTGGGCCACCCAGATGCCCTAATACTGATGAATTTTAAATATAGAGAGGTGTCTGATCACACACATAGTAAGAAAAAAATCAAAATTTACACCAAGATAACACTTTTAAAGTCTATCATGTTGTCAAAAAACCCCAAATTTGATAACACTGCATTGGTAAGGCTTTGGGAAAGTAGGTACTCTCAATATCTTGCTGGTGGGAGTGAAAATTGGGATACTCTCCCTGGAGAGGTATTTGAAAATATGTATTAATATTAAAAATCTATATTCTAAAAAATATATATTCTTTGATCTAGGAATTTTAATTCTGGCATATCTGTAGGATAGACTCCACACATGAGAAATGATACACACAGTGAGGATATTTGCTATAGCATTGTCTGGGATAGTGAATCATGGGAAACAATCCAAATGTCCCTCAGTAGGAGACTGGTTAAATTATGGTATGGTCACAAACAATGGAAGCTGTGGAACTATTAAGAAAATATGATGTAGGTCTAGATTGTGACAGATTTTATGTTTTAACATGACTCCAATAATGTTCCATCTAACATGCTCTTCTTACAGTGTGACTTTTATAGTCTTCCCGTGAAGAGGGTGGGTCTGCGTTCTCTCCCCTTCAACACAGACATGCTTGTGGCTAAGTTGAAAGTGGTGCTGTATGATTTCTGAGGCTAGGTCATAAACAGTAAGGCAGCTTCCACTTGGTCCTTTGATGGGTCACATACTCTTGGAACCTAGACATCAGACTGTGAGGAAGTAGAGAGACGTAAGGGGGAGGTCGTTTGTAGGTGTTCTGGGTGACAGCCCCAGGTGAGGTGCCAGTCAATAACCAGTATGAACCCCTAGATATATGAGTGGACAACCTCATGGTGACTTCAGCCCCAGATGCTGTCGGACCACAGCTGAATGAGATCCCACATGACAACTGCCTAGTTGAGCTTGGACAAGCTCCAGAGCTGTGACAGATCATTTAAACACTTTTTGCTTGTATTATCTTAGCCACTGAGTTTTGGGGTTATTTGTTAAGCAGTCACAGATAAATGGAATATATATGTAATGAATTTCATGAAAAATAGTTTTAGGGAAAAAAAAGCAAGGTACAGAACAGTGCATATACTATGCTTCCATTTGGTGAAACAGGTATGAAATTATATGCATATATGCTTTATTTACCTACATATGCATAAGTTGTCCCTGGATGGATATACAAACAACCAATAACAATGACGGCCTATGAGCTGGGGAACCAGATATCTGGGGACCAGAGGTAGGAAAAAGACTTTTTATCTTCTCCCTGTATCCTTTTGCACTTCAAAAAGTTTGAGCCATGATAATGTAATATCTATTCAATATATTAAATTATAGGAAACATGTACTATATAACATATTTACTATGCTAAATATATTAAAATAATAAATATGAATTTAATATATTAAATATATTTTTAAAAACATGAAATACAAAGTACCAGAGGAAGAGTCAACAATGGATTAAAAAAACAGTGAATGAAAGTTTGAAGAGTAACAGGATATTTACAGTTCCAAAGTATATCTCCACACAATACTTTTTAATTACAAAATGCAACATAAAGATTTTACAGTGGAGGAATGTGGACGATACTACCCTCACCGAGTGATAAAACCAGCAATGGGACTCATCGACACCATGTGCCCTCCTGATATGATACACTGAGAAGAACTCAGCATGACTTCAGTGGTATTCCTGCCCAAAATGCATAACCTGAATTTAATTATGAGCAAACTCCAAATGAACCAAAATTTAGGGACATTCTATAAAAAATAATTCATCCGTGTGCTTCACAAATGCCCCTAATATGAAAAATAAAGACTCAAGAACTGTTCCAGATTAAAGGGGACTGGGGACACATGAGAATTGAATGAGATGCATAACTTATATTTTCTTTTGCTGTAAAGACATTCCTGGGACAACTGGCAAATACAGTCTATAGGTTAGATAGTACCATTTTTTAAAAAAAGATTTTATTTATTTACTTGTCAGAAAGAGAGAGAGAGTGCACACAAGCAGGGGGGTGGCAGGCAAAGGGAGAAGCAGGTTCCCTATTGAGCAAGGAGCCCATTGTGGGGCTCGATCCAAGAACCCTGAGATTATGACCCAAGCCAAAGGCAGATGCTTAACCAACTGAGCCATCTAGGCATCCTGATGATAGTATTGTTTAAACATTAATTTCTTTTTCTTTTTTTAATAAAAAATTCTTTTTTTAAAAAAGATTTATTTGACATAGAGAGAGATTACAAGCTGGCAGAGAGGCAGGCAGAGAGAGGGAGACGCAGGCTCCCTGCTGAGCAGAAAGCCCGATGCGGGCCTCGATCCCAGGACCCTGAGATCACGACCCGAGCTGGCAGAGGCTCAACTCACTGAGCCACCCAGGTGCCCTCTTTTTCTTTAAAAAAAAAAAAAAAGATTTTATTTATTCAGAGAGTACAAGAGTGGGGGGAGGGCCAGAGGGAGAGAGAGAGAATCTCAAGACTCTGTGCTAAGCAGGGAGCCCAACGTGGGGCTCCATCCCAGGACCCTGAGATCATGATTTGAGCTGAAATCATGAGTTGGACACTTAACCAAATGCACCACCCAGGAGCCCCTAATTTTCTGATTTGTACTATGCTTATGTAAGAGAATTCCTAGTCTTTAGGAAATACACAATAACCACTCAAATTCTTAGGGGTAGAAGGGGATCATGTCTGCCACTTACTCTCAAATGATACAGAAAAACATATATCTATATCTATATCTATATCTATATCTATATCTATATCTATATATGATGACAGAGAGAATGAGAGAGAGAGAGATTAAACCTGAGGAATCTGGGTGAAGGATATCCATAAATTTTTTTTGTACTATCCCTACAACTTTTCTCTAAGTTTGAAATGGTCAAAATAAAAATAGATAAATGAATAATATTAAAGTACATGCTTTGAGATCTCATAATCAAGGATGAATCTTTTTATTGCTAGAGATCAGAGAAAGCTTTCCGGAGATGACAGATGAACTAGGCCTTGATGGACAGCTAGAATTCCAACAAGGAGAGATGGGGTGTGGTAAAGGAAAGAAGTCCAGGCAGAGGGAAGAACATGACCCAAGGTGTGAAAAGAAATCTTGTATGGTCTGTGTTTTGGATATGACAAACAGTGGGCTATTTTGGTGAAAGTATTCACATTGTGAGGGGGGAACAATGGTAGATAAAGGTTGAAAATGGGATCATAGAGGATGTATATTTGGCCACTGATTCCCAATGGTAGTGGCGATATTGCAGGGAGAGGCAGGAGATTAAGAGGAGTTGAAGATGTCAACACAATATCAAGTCTGGGTGACTAAAAGAATGTTGATACTATGAACAGGGTCAGGGAGCAGTAGGTTTCTAACCAAGACAGTGAAGTGGAGTTTAGTTTAGACATGCTGAGTAAGAAGACATATATAAATTCCAAGTAGAATTAAGGACATAAAAATTGCTTTTTTTAGAAAATTTTATTTATTTATTTATTTGAGAGAGAGCGAGAGCAAGCACACAGTGGGAGGGCAGAGGAAGAGGGAGAAGCAGACTCCCTGCTGAGTAGAGAGCCCCATGCAATGTGGGGCTTGATTCCCCCAGGCCTCTGAGATCATGACCTGAGTGGAAGGCAGTTGCTTAACCGACTGAGCCACCCAGGTGCCCTGACATAGAAATTTCTTTAAAAATTATTAAAGGTATTTAAAATATTTTTAAAATTCTGGGTGGGGGGGAATGCATGAAAAGAAATCCAAAAGCCAAAAAGGAAAAGTCTGACAGATTTGATGATATAAAAAGTAAACCTCTGCATAGAGAAATGTATATAAGTAATTAGCAAATTAATTGGAAAAAAATATCTGCAGCAAGGATAACAAACAAAATAGTGATATCTAATATCAATAAGAAAAATATAAATAACTCAATAGAGAACAAAGAAAGGTTATAAACAGACAATTTGCCGAAGGAATGCTAATCAACAGAGATAGGAAACCCCACCTCCCCACTTCCACTCTTAAATCCATGAGGAATATTGGGCAGAATTCCAAGTGTATTAAAACCCATGCAGCACATCTATACAATCTACTCAGGTGGTTTGACATTACCTGGAGTACTAGTTTTAAAGAGACTGCAGGTTCAATCAGATGTTATGGTGAAGTTAGTAATACAGGATTAGATGAAGAAAACCCACGTTACGAACAGAAGAGCTGGCAGTCAACCGTGGATGATCTGACTTGGTGGGGAAGTAGAAGCTTCTCAGGTACAACTCCCTTTGTTTGCCGGTATCAACTACCTAACTGAATCTTCAGTTTTCATTCAAGCTACAGTCATTCTGTCCTCACCCCTTATCTCGTTTTACCTTCTCTATCTTTTCATTATTTTCCATTTAGCCTTGTGCCTGGCACATAAGAAGCACTCAACAGGTATTTGTTGAAAAGATGTGCCTCACCCTAAAGGAAGAACAAAAGAAGCAGAGGTATCAAAATAATAAGACCCCGTGTCATTTTTTTGGGCAGTAGCACGTAATAAGGTTTATTGGGTGGCACTTAGGGTTGTATGAGAAGGGAAGTCCCTCACAGCAGGAAACTGTCCAGAGGCTTAGCTAGAGCACCAGCTCTACCTTCCAGAAGGGGTGGAGGGCAAGGAAACTCCCAGAGGAGAGGGGAAGAGGAAGTTACACATCTAGGTGATGTCCTTCAGTAGCACTGTTGGGGATTCTCTAGGGTAGAGAGCCGTGGTTTGGGGTATTTGTGGCCCTGGGCTTAACTCTTATGGCAGATGTGGAGTAGGTTTCAAGGAGTGTGAAGAGCAGGCAGGCCCTGAATGGCTAAAAATACGTTTGGGCTGGTTTTGATACAATTGGTTGTGCAAAAATTTGATTCTGGGGCTGGTGGGCTTTTCAGATGTCTTTTTCACTTACTCATTAACCACCAGGATCTGATGGAAGCAGCATGGGCTCTGGAGTCAGACAAATCCAGGGGACTTCATTATAGCCTAGAGGGCCTCAAAGTCCCAGATCCCTACCTAGTCTTCTTTGACACCACCCTGGCAGTAGGGGAAGGTAGAGGAGGCAAGTCAGTGCTGCAGATTTTTCTATGGTAGGAGTGGTTATTGTCTAAAAGTTGTCTGTCTTGCTAGTCTGCCCTTTCCTGGTCCTTTGTCTAGAAAGAACAGGTTTTTCTGAAGGCTCCAGTCATCTGTGCCCATTGGCGTTTTCAGGGTGCTGGCTTCTCCAGCATCTGATGCAGTATATATGAGGTGACAAAAAAAAAAAAAAAAACCTGGGTACATTACCACCTTGTCAATCCTCAGAGCCTGAGATCCTTAACCAGTCTTCTTTCTTCTTTCTACCTTTTAACACCTCGTTATGTTTGTTTTCTAAATAATGTCCTCTTGTACTTAGCAGAAGGAACAGAGAGAGATGCATGTATTCTATCTTGTCTGGAACCAGAAGTCCCATTGTGGTTATGTTTTTAAGAGCTTCACTGACTTTTAGAAATAATACTGAAATATTTAGGAATGAAATGATAAAGCATCTGGTCTCTTTTTCAAAATAATCTGGGAGAAAGAGAGAATATAGATGGGACAAGATTAACCATGTGTTTATCATTGTTCAGGCTGGGTGATGTGGCCCCAAGGGTTCATTATGCTATTCTCTCTATTTTTATAGAAATTTAGACGTTTCTGTCCTAGAAAGTAAAAAAGAAAAGTTACTCTCTCTCCTCTGTGGAGGCTGGGATTGAGGAGAACAAGGCTGAAATAGGAAGACTTGTTAGAAAACCATAGCAATAGTCCTGGTGAGAGACACAGACGTGAGTGAAGGTAGCCGTGCTAGCGATGCAGAAGATAAATACTTAGAGGAAAAACTGAATAGCCTTGGTGCTTAACTGGATATGGGGCGAAGCTTGCTGATTAGGTAGGTGTTGATTTCAACCACAAGGATGCAGAATTTCAGAACGTGACTCCACTTTTAATGTTTGACTGCTGACTGCTTACAAGTCCTACTACCCCTCTTTCCCTTCCAGCCTACACCTGGGCAAGATGTCAGGGAAATCCAAGGGTTCTGTCCTTTGGTGCTGGTAAGAACCTTTTCCCCAGCCTCACCTCCTAATCATAATAAAAGCCCAACACAGTCTCCTTTCCCTGCTCACTTATCTTTTTTTTTTTTTTTTTAACCAACCTGGGAATCTGTTCCAGTCTTCCAAGAAGTCTCATTATGTGAGTAATAAACATTTTACACTCTTTTGGTACATGGTTGGTATCATCAGTCTCAATATCCAAACCAAATTTAGGGGAGGGGAGCCCATCCTGCTTCTTCAAGTTGATGACTCCATTAATAAATGAGGAAGTTCAGGTTATATTTGGAGGGGAAGTGAGGGATAGGAGGGAGTTCAATTTGGGCATACTGAGTTTGAGGTACTTATGTATAATGTACCTAGCAGGGTTCTGGACACATAGCAAATTACTCAGAAATGCTAGTTTATTGTTTTCTGTAAGCCTCTGTGTTCATACTCCTTTTGAGTTAAGAATTTATTTATCTTTGGATTTTTACCAAATAACAGAGGCTTGAAATAACCATAAATAACATAACAGTTATTGGTCACCTACTATGTAACAGGCATTGTATCAGAGACTTTGCAGATATTGTATCTTGCTTAATCTTTACAACAGTTCTATGAGGTTGGTATAATCCAAATTTTATAAACGAGAACAACTGAGGCTTGAGGTTACACAGTGTGTAGGTTGCAAAATTCAAATCCAGACACTCCAAAGTTGAGTTGTATTTACTATATTTTACTTCCTCTCCACGTGGACATGAAAGGAGACAGAATATTTATCACTTACTTCAGAGTATACAACATGTAAAGGATATCAGCTTGTTCCTGTAAGCTGGAGGTCTCCTTCAACTGTAAAACCAGTGCCTTGAAGTCCACCTCCCCGGACTGGTCTCTGGGAAGATGCATTTCTACACGAACAGAGGGAACCTTTAGTTTGAGAAACGATAAAAAGAAAAAAAAATTAAGTCCACAAGTGCCCAACTTAAATAATGCCCTAGAGTATTGATCTTTTCACCTCTAAACCTTTTCCATAAGAATTCCCTAAATTTTGATGAGAAGTAAAACAAAAACAATGAAACCTTCAAAATGAATGATGTAGCAATTCAGTTTTCTCACAGCCTGGCTAGAAAAGGTTGCTAGAGGGGAGTGGAATTGGGGGATGGGGTAACTGGGTGATGGGCATTCAGGAGGACATGTGATGTAATGAGCATTGGGTGTTATATAAGACCCCGGAACAAATAATACAGTATATGTTAATTAATTGAATTTAAAATAAAAACAAAAAGAAAGTGAAATAAAAAGGAGTATACTTTCACCAGGGTAGCATTTTGCCTACCACCAGTTACCAGCAGAAACCATAATGGCTTGTTCTGTTATTCACCATATAGATGGCAGTTTTGTGAATGGCTGACAGAAAAAAATCTCATGTGCAAGTTTACCTGGTCCTCTCGTGGGCAATGAGGCAAGTCAAGTAAGTTGAATGAAGGACGGGAGGCCTGAAATATCTTTGTAGGAAGATACATGTGAACATCTGCAAGAGGTTGACATTTATGGGAAAGGTTAGATAACTTAGGAGACTAAAAAGATAATTCACAGTTATATGCAACTGATAACTTATTGAACACTACACCTGAAACACATGATGTACTATCAGTCGGCTAACTGAACTCAAATAAAAACAATTCACAGTTCCCCTCAAAATGAAGTTGCACAGGAGTTGTTCTCTATAGAACAAGAGTGAGAAATTTATCATTTCTTGCTAATGTCACAGAAAAGAAATATGAATATCAGATACTTTAAAGATTGTTCAATCAAACATACTTTCAGTGGAATGCCTAGAACTGTAGCATCAAATGGCCATTTAAGATATTAAAGCCTATGAATGTAATCAATATCACAATGGTGCTATTGCTGATACTTTGATAGAATACCACATGTAACAGAAAGAACCCAATTCTGTTTTCTATTTTCTGGACTGCCTTGGGAAAATATCTGGCTGTCAGCAGTTGGGTTTTCTTGAGAATAGATAAATGGATGATCCTATGTAGGGAGTCAGAAAATGTAGTGGCCGACCTACTTTGAGATATTCCAAATATTTTTATTTATAGTCCAAATACTTACCATAACCTCAAAGGAGAGACTGTCTTGTCACTTTCACCATGTTACAGATACAGAATGAGGGATATAGAGCTCAAAATACTGTTCAAGCAAGTAAGTAGCAGAGCCAGGATTTAAGCTCAAGTTTCCCGATTCACAATCTAGAAGTATAATTTAATAACGCTGATGTCTTCACATAAGCCCTTTGTCAAGGCAGCATCCTTAAAGGGTATGCTGAGCTCTTCCCTGTTCTCAATGTTAAATGATTCATGTTTAATATCTGTGGTTAGTAATGGTCAATCAAGTTTTAGACAGCAAGAACATGCGTCTCAATCATTCTCATCATCTGTAAAATGTTACCATTTAGGTCCTCTTGGTGTGGCCAAGGAGCCCGTCTTCCCTTCATATGCAGCTACCATAGAGGCACTGACTACTCTTAGGAACCATGACTACTCCTAGCCTAGCAGTGTGTAGTAGAAGACACCCTTCATTGCCAATACCTACCAAAAGGGGGGCAGTGGTCACGGGGAGGACAATGACAGAGTTGTTGAGGAATGAGTACTGTAGTTGAGAAACACAGCTCTACACTGCTGGAACAACTGACTGTAAATATCACAGCTGACCTAAGGGAACCAGATGCAGCTTACTTAAGGGAGAGTATTTCCCTCTTCGTTACAAGGTTAGCTTGTAATAGTTTGCAGTGCTTTCTCTTTAAATAAAAGTGCTTCCGAAGGAGTAACTTTCCCAAAGGAAACACCTTCTTCCATCATTTAACACAGATGTTAAAATGCTCCATGTCTCTTGTTCTGGCTGCTTTTCATGGTGTAGTGGTTAAATCAGGCCGCATAGCACTATCTATAGCAAAATTACAACCAATTCACTAACTTTCCAAATATTTGAGTGCCTGACATGTTCCTTCTGTCTGAGATGCTGAGGATAAAGCACTGAACAATACAGAACTTCTGCTTACACTGTAATACACACCCCACCCCCATCCTGGGCTGCACGTCAATCCTGTGCCTGACTCCAGTGAGTCATGGCATTACTCACTCTGTACATGCAGCTCCTTGGCCTTGGTCACCAAGGACATTAAATCGCAGGTTGTTTGCACAGCAGCTCGGAACAGATCTAGCCCTCCCTTCTGTGAGGTAGGGGCTACTTTAGCATGGGGAGCAGTGTGCGCCAAAAGGTGATCTAAATAACGAGCAACTTCATCACCACAGCGAGCTGCAAGGTTAGTGGGGGTAGGGGGAAGAGAAAAAAATGAACATTTTAGTTACTTCACAATCTGCCCCACCAACTAGAATGTTCAGCTCCTGTGCCCATGACACAGCACCGGAAGTAGGTTGTTTTAGATCGCGGCGGGGGTCAAGGTTGTGATTACTGTACAGTCTTGCAGCTTTACCTTTTAGAAATTAGGGCCATTTACGAGGACCTACCTGTTCTTCAACTTTGCTGTCACAATATTAGGGCCCTTGAAAGCAGTATGAGCTTATTATAGGACAGGTAGAGCAAAGATTTCACAGTCTGCGCCTGTACATGTGATGGGGCTGGTGGTGGCAGCAGTGGTGGCAGAAGAGCAGAATAGGGCCCTTGGAGTCTCACTGGTAGGAGGAGACTTTGGTGAGCAAAGGCAAAAATTTTCCACTAAACACTGAACCTAGCTAAAAACAGACAAATCCCATAAATGGAGGCTACAGTTGCTGACGAAAAGAACAATCTCTGTGTGACCTTGGTGTCAAAAGGATTACTGGCCACACACTGGTCCTTTTCATTACCGTATTCATTTATTCACCAACTATTTATTGTCCACAGTGTACTGGGGGGTATATAGGTGCTGAGGTTTCAGTGGTGAAGAAGATAGATATGTTCCCTATCCTCTTGGACTCTCACACTCCCATATACCTCCTGTAACATTCTCTTCTCATGGATCCTAATATTTCAGATTGTACAGGAGCATTCACGACATTAATAGCTGGAAAAGCACAGTGTCTGGATTACTACTAAAGTCTGTGAGGCCAATTATGCCTCATATTTTTTGATCATCTTCAGTGATCTCTCCAGATGTTTTTCTGTGTTCTGATGTGATTTAAAAAAATTATCTATTTATTTGATAGAGAGAGCATGAGAAGGGGGCAGGTCAGAGGGGGAAGGAGACTCCCTGCTAAGTGGGGAGCCTGATGCGGGTCTTGATCCTGGGACTCCAGGATCGTGACCTGAGCCAAAGGCAGACACCTAATGAACTGAGCCACCCAGGGGCTCCTGTTTTGATGTGATTAATGGAAACTAGCAAAGCTGTAATAATGGAACTCATTCTTAGTGAAATCCTAATGACAATTAGTATAACCTTGAACAATATAGATACTTGAGTGGAGGATTATGAATAATATGGAGAGAAGTGTTCTTGGTATGGCAGGGCTGGCAAGCAATAAGCGCAGCCATTGTGAGACCCCTGATGAGTAAAACCAGAGAGGAGAAAGTGACTCTGAATGCATAACATCAAATATAGTAATACATATCATTACAAAGATAACATTTTAGAAAGTAATCTAAAAGAATGAGTGCTACAGATGAAAGTCACAACCACCCATAGAATAGCAAACAATATGATTATTCTGGTCTGCTTTTCAAAATATTTGTTTATGCCAAGATGGATATCTTAGATATTTGGTAATTATTAATAACAGGAAATAACTTTGAATTTAATGTATTTTTCCAGTGAAGAGATTCATGGTTTTCTATCTTACAGAAACAAATGCAGAGTGAATTAAATGGTACTTAGGTGAGTAAATGCTGAGCCCAAAAAAGAAAATCATCCTCTGACTGATAATGTGTTGGTTTATTGTATATGAGATAATGCTTGCCACCTCACTAAGGAAAGCCAATTCATTTTTTTCTTTTCTCTAACATTCCACTCTCAAGATAAAGAAATTTTCTGCCTTAAGAAACAGGCTAACAGGCAAATACCCAGACAATGAAAGCAGGCAAACCATATTTTAGATAGCTAGAAGAATTTGCTCCTATTGGCCCTTCTCTCTTTGGGATTCAAACAATGTAATTCTTGCCTTGCTTAGGTTAGTGTTTTAAAACTTTAGGGTGTTTCTCAGCCACTTTAAATATATGTCCTTATGATGTTTTCTCACTATATCATCCTTGTATTCTTAGTAATCAATTAGATTGGTTGTGTTTTATTTGTCTAGTTTGCAATATGAAAGCAATAGGCACACTGAATAGGCTTTTTCAAACTAAGCAGACCTCTCTAGAGATTCCCATCAGCCCTGGTAACATTATATATAAAAAGCACTCTAACTGAGTTTCTTAATTTTATGCTTTTAAATGACAAAAAGCAGTACTGTATACGTATAGTTCTCCTACTACATACCTGATTAAAATCTCTCACTCCCCACTGCTTCCTCTCATTTTGAAATCACCAGCCATTTCATATACCCAGCACAGAAATCTTCCCTGAACTTAGTAAGAGATAGTCAAACTCCATACTCCACAATCACCACAGGGATATTAGACCAGAAACCAAAGGTAAGTAGAAGGATGAAAAGTGAAGCCAAATAAAAGTAGAAATCTAGGTGTATTAAATAGGAGTGAGACTTCTGGCAGTGAGAAATATTAAGGAGGATGCTCAACACTACTTTGTAATCTTGCCCAGCAAGGCCATTGCCTTTATGATGCTCCCTTACCATTATGGGGTGAATCATAGTCATTCATCCAGTCGCCAGAGTCCAGCTCATTGTAGTTATCATCATAATCTTCACTGTACAGCTTACCCTCGGGTCCAGGATCCATGAAGCTCAAATGTGTGCAGCAAGATGTTGTTAAAAACTCTGACAATTTACCTGTTTGAATTCTGACAATTACAGGACAAAGAGAAAACAGAAAATCAGAGGAAATAATCTTAAAACAACACGTTTCAGTGAGAAAAGGGATACCTAGAATGTTTTTGGTTGGGGGACTGCTAATGCTTTTATATATTAGTATAAATTTTGTAAATATAAAATTTTATGCACTCCTCGGCATGGTATAGTATAGGCTGGGATGCTGTGTTAATGAAGACCACAGTTATGGGTTCACAATCTACCAGCAGATCAGTTTTGCTTTCCTTCACTTCCATATACTATGCTGTTAACTATGTTAAATGTCTGGCCAGAATCTCCATTAGCTGCAGAGAAGCTGGGACAGAAGGAAGAGAAATCATCACAAATCCATCACATCATTTAAAAAAAATACTCAAAGATCATTTTGAAATTGAAAGATGATATTTGAAAATCTTATGAATTATAGAGGATTGTAGGCTATATCCTCCCCTACTTAAAAAACTGATTGCAAAACCCAAAGTGTAAGTTAATAATACCGATTTTCTCAAGAACACAGTCTGGCACTGGGTGGAGAACATTATTGCTATGGCTGTCACCAACATCCTGTATCTATTCAGGACAAAATCAACTAAGGAATCTAGCACAAGGACTAAGTCTGGTCGTTTTCTCAAAGGAAGGAGCATTGTCCTCCTCTCCATGAAGAGGAGTACTGCACTTCCCACTTCCTTTCACACACTGGAGGGGCTGTCCTTCTGCCTTCAGCAAGGCAAGCCAAGGGTCGCTGTTCAAGCAAAAAACCCACTGAAAGCAGAATTGGTGGACAGACTTAATAAAGGCCATTATTCAAAACAGATGTGAAAAAGAAGAAAAAGAAGCCAGCTTGAACGGGTTCCCAAAGGCCAGACCTTGGATAATTTGAACACTGAAATAAACAATGACAGAAATGGAGCATAGAATATTGAATAAAATCAGAATCCACGAATCTATGCTACACTAAAACTACAAAATAAAAGGGGATATTCTAACACATATATATGCACAGGATGATAGAGACACAGAATCATCACTTTAAAACCCCATTAGTAATAATGGATTCACCAATGGAAGATAAAACTGGGTAAAGACTATCATAGAAAGGATAGGGAGAAACCTACCAGATACCACTTTAACCAAATTGAAAGACATTCTGCATTATAATTGACCTTTCTTTTTCAAAACTGTGTTGAAAACTGTCATGAAAGATTCACAAAAGCCTGGGGAACTGTTCTAGATTAAAAGACATCAAGGAGATATAATAACCAAACGCCAATGTGTGATTTTTGATTGGGTCTCAGAATGGGGAAAAAAGGCTATGGAAAAAATATTGGGAAAATTGGCTAACTGTGAATGTGGACTCTAGGTAATAAGAGTAATTTATCAATATTAAATTTTGTGAGTATGATGATTATATTGTAGCTATATGTGAAAATATCCTTGTCCTCATAAGACAAACTGAAGTGTTTAGAGTTGAATAGTCATGATGCTTCTGGCTAAATCTCATACTTCAGCAATTAAAGTGTGTGCATGTGTGTATGTGTGTGTGTGTACATTTACATATCTGTATCTGTGAAGGGGGGAGAGTAGAGAAGGGAAGGGAGGGAGGAGTAAGAGGAGAGTACGGAAGAGGAGGGAGAGAATGCACAAGTGAGACAGATGTTAACAACACGTAAATCCTGAGGAAGGGTATATGGTGTTCAATACCATTCTTGCACATTTCTGCAAGCTTGAAATTTTTCATACTAAAAACTTAGAGAAAAGAGAAAAGAAAAGCAGCCAGAATTGAATAGTTCAGTAACTTTTTTGCTTTTGAAAGAATAAATTTTCCAGTCCACTGAATTTATGAGGTTTAGGCAAAGAACAGGATGGGAAACATTCTAAGCCTTCTCTATAACATTAAATTCCTTGATTTGATCTATCAAAAATGAGTTCTTCTAAACTCATAGGATGGGGCTATACTGCACAACTGATGAATAGCTGAACACTGCATCTGAAACTACTGATATACTATGTATTGGCTAATTGAATTTAAATAAATTAAAAAAGACACAGAGAAAGGCACCACAAGTCTACCATTACTATATCCAGCTTCCAAATTTCATTTCATTTCACTGAAAGGTGTGTAGAGGTTACTTACCTTGCTCCACCAAAGTAGCCATCTTGCATTTTTCGGAGTGCCGCTAGGATACTTGAATTCAAGCTGGTTCCATCTTCATCTTAAAATGAAGAGAATTTTATTTTCAAATTATGTTATGTTAATCTCCATATAGTAGTACATCATTAGTTTTTGATGTCGTGTTCCGTGAGTCACTGTTTGCAAATAACACCCAATGCTCCATGTGAAATGAAGAGAATTTTAGAACAATTTTTTTTCCAGTTTTAACTTTGAAATACGGGGAATATTTCAATTATTTCAAACCAACCTTCTGGTGGTAATGGTACAGATAAGATGCTCCTCATTGTGTGCCTTGTATTTCAACAACTGATCTGAGAGCTAACAACATGGTAGAATGGGCAAGTGGTGAGGGTGATTACCAACAGACAGAGTACCTCAAAGACTACTTAGCACAGTGACTGATGGCAGAATACTTAATGGTTACTGAAAGTTGACAATAATAACAATAACAATAACCATTTGTTTAATGTTAGATGCCAAGCCCTGTGTTAAACATTTTATATATTATCTCACGTAAACAGACTTGGTTTGTGTATGTGTGTAGGCATACAAAATAAAGAAGGCTAACAATTACCTGACTTTATGTGCAGGGGATCATACAATATCTACTCTTTTGTGATCCATTTTTTTCCTAACTTATCCTTTGTAAAAACTAAAAAAGATTCCATAGCAGACATTTAGACTGTTTTTGTATTATAAGCAACACTGTGATGAAGATCACTGTACTTACATCTTTATGCACCTATTCTGTATTTTCCTTAGGATACATTCTCATAAGTAAAACTGTTAGGACAAAGGGAACACTTACTAAAAATTGTATAGAGACTGTCAAAATTGCCCACTAAAAAAGTTGTGCCAGTTTTATTTCCACCACCGGTATAGAAAGCAGCTGTTTTCCCATATCTTTAATAATGATCTTTTAAATCTTTGTTTACCTGATACTTAAAAGATACTGTTTTTATTTTTTTATTTTACTACTAGTAAGATTGAGCATGTTTTCATGTATATACTGGCTATCTGTATTTCTTTTATGATTTGCCTGTTCATGTCCTTTTCCCTTGCTTCTATTGTTTATCTTTTTGTTAATTGACTTTCAAAGGCTCTTTATGTTTTGTGAATATCACCATTTTCTCTGGTATATGTATGGAAAATGCCTACTTTGTTATTTGTCTTTCAACCTCAAACACAGTTCATTTTTGTATAAAAGATTTATTTAAATTTTCATGTTTTGGGGGAATTTGCCAATTTTTTCCTTTTTTGTGTCTTGCAAAGCATAGTTTTCTTCAGCTCAAGATCACAAAAACATTCTCCCATATTTCCTTGTAATACTTTCAAAGGTTTATTTATTTATTTTTGCTTAGATTTTTAATCTATTTAGAATTTAATTTTGCATAAAATGTAAAGTAGCAGGCCTTAATGAATGATTTTCCCAAATGTATTTATTTATATATTTTTTCTCATGCTTTTATTTAGATTCCAGTTAGTTAACATACAGTGTTAATATTAATTTCAGGTATAGAATTTAGTGATTCAACACTTCCATACAATACCCAGTGCTCATCATGACAAGTGCCCTCCTTAATCCCTGTCACCTGGGTTAAATAAACCCAGCTCCCCACATCCCTCTGGTAATCATCAGTGTGTTCTCTACAGTTAAGAGTCTGTTTCTTGGATTGCTTCTCTCTCTCTCTCTTTTTCTCCCCTATGCTTGTTTGTTTTGTTTCTTATATTCCACATATGAGAGAAAAATAATATGGTATTTCTCTTTCTCTGACTTATTTCACATAGCATTATATTCTCTAGCACCAACCATGTCCTTGCAAATGCCAAGATTTCATTCTTTTTGATGACTGAGTAATATTCCTCTATCTATCTATCTATCTATCTATCCATATCTACTACAACTTCTTTATCCATTTATCAGCAGATAGATATTTGGGCTCTTTCCCTAATTTGGCTTTTATTGATAATGTTCTTTGGCCTCTATCTGGATTGTAACCTTTATCATTATTTTAATTAGAGTGGCTGTCTTCTCTCATCATTTTAAATTTTTTAAAAATCTGATTATTCTTATACATTTTCTCTTTCATATGAAATTTAGATTCAGTTTGTTCATAAAAATTTGAGTTCTTATTTTGATTTGGAATTGCACTGAATTGATAGATTAATAAGAATTGACATCCTCTCAATATTAACTGTTTCCATCTAGCAACATGGTATGTCTCTCTAGCAATTAAAATCTCCTTTAATGCTCTTCATTAGTTTCATAATTTTTCTCATGATTCTATGCATGTCTCTTATTAAGCTTATTCTTATATGATTTACTTTTCTAGAAAAGTTGTTAATTTAATCTGGATTTACAAAATTAAATTTGATATTCTCATAATTTATGATTTTTATAACCATTTTTCTATTTATTTGAAAAAATTGGTACACTTTGGAAATTTAGCGGCACAAGGTATATTAGCATAGCTTGAAGGACATTATACAGTTTTAAAAAAAGGAAATAGGGCAAAGTCCAAGATGCAGAGGAGTCGGTGATCTTAGTCTTGTCTGGTCCCAGGAATTCAGCTAGACAGCTATCAAATCATTCTGAACACCTGTGAATTCAACCAGAGATCTAAGAAAAGAATAGCTGCAACTCTACAAACAGAAAAGTGACCACTTTTCTGCAGGAATGACAAGACAGAAAAACTCACCTAAGAAAAGAGAACAAAAGGCAGTACTGACTGCCAGAGGCCTAATCAGTATGGACATAAGTAAGATGTTGGGACTAGAGTTCAGAGTAATTATTATAAAGATACTAGCTGGGCTTGAAAAAAGTATAGAAGACACTAGAGAATTCTTTTCTGGAGAAAAAGGAGGAATTAAAATCTAATCAAATTGAAATAAAAAAGGCTATTAATGGGATGCAATAAAAAATGGAGTCTCTAACTGCTAGGATGAGACAGAAGAGATAATTAGTAATATAGAAGATAAAATGATGGACAATAAGTAAGCTGAGAAGAAGAGAGAGAAAGAACTACTGGATCATAAGGGGAGAATCTGAGAGATAAGTGATACCATAAAGTGAAACAATATTAGAATAATTGGAATCCCAGAAGAGGCAAGAGAGACAGAGAGAGGCAGAAGGTACACTGGAGCACATTATAGCAGAGAATTTCCCTAATCTGGGGAAGGGAACAGGCATTCAAGTCCAGGAGGCACAGAGAACCCCCCTCAAAATCAACAGAAATAGGTGAACACCCTGACGTATAATTGTGAAACTTGCAAATCTCAGAGACAAAGAGAAAATCCTGAAAGCAGCTTGTGACAAGAGGTATGTAAGCTACAATGGTAGAAACATTAGATTGGCAGCAGACGTATGCACAGAAACCTGGCAGGCCAGAAAGGACTTGCATGATATATTCAGGGTGTTAAATGAGAAAAATATGCAGCCAAGAATACTTTATCCAGCTAGGATGTCATTTAAAATAGAAGGAGAGATAAAAAGCTCTCAGGACAAACAAAAAACTATAAGAATTTGTGATCACTAAGCCAGCCCTGCAAGAAATATTAAAAGGGATCCTTTATGCAAAGAGAGCCCAAAAGTAACACAGACCAGAAAGGAACAGAGAAAATATAGAAACAGCGACTTTACAGGTAATACAATGGCATTAAATTCATATCTTTTGATAGCTACTCTGAATGTAAATGGGCTAAATGCCCCAATCAAAAGACAGAATATCAGATTGGATAAAAAGGCAAAACCCACCTACAAGAGACTAGTTTTAGACCCAAAGACATCTCCAGATTGAAAGTGAGAGGCTGGAGAACCATTTATCATGCCAATGGACATCAAAAGAAAGCTGTGGTACAATCAACAACAAGAAATAAAGGGCATCTGAATGGGCAAAGAAGTCAAACTTATTCTTTGCAGATGACATGATACTCTATGTGGAAAACACAAAAGACTCCACCAAAAAATTGTTAGAACTCATACAGGAATTCAGCAATGTGGCAGGATCTAAAATCAATGCACAAAAAGCTTTTGCATTTCTATACACTAGCAATGAATGAGACAGAAGAAAGAGAAATTAAGGAGCTGATCCCATTTACATTTGCACCAAAACCCATAAGATACCTAGGAATAAACCTAAACAAAGAGGCAAAGGATTTGTACTCAGAAAACTATAGAACACTCATGAAAGAAATTGAGGGAGACCCAATGAAATGGAAAAACATTCCATGCCTATGGATTGGAAGAACAAATATTGTGAAAATGTCTATGCTACCTAGAGCAATCTATATATTCAATGCAATCCCTATCAAAATACCATCAACTTTTTTCACAGGGCTGGAACAAACAATCCTAAAATTTGTATGGAACCAGAAAAGTCCCTGAATAGCCAAAGGAATGTTGAAAAAGAAACCCAAAGCTTGTGGCATCACAATTCTGGACTTCAAGCTCTATTATAAAGCTATAATCATCAAGACAGTATGGTACTGGCATAAAAACAGACACATAGATCAATGGAACAGAATAAAGAGCCCAGAAATGGACCCTCAACTCTATGGTCAACTAATCTTTGACAAAGCAGGGGAGAATATCCAATGGAAAAGAGACAGTCTCTTCAACAAATGGTGTTGGGAAAATTGGACAGTCACATGCAGAAGAATTAAACTGGACCATTTCCTTACACCATACACAAAAATAAAATTAAAATGGATAAAAAACCTCAATGTGAGACAGGAATCCATCAAAATCCTAGAGGAGAACCCAGATAGCAACCTCTGTGATCTTGGCTGCAGCAACTTCTCACTAGACACATATCCAAAGGCAAGGGAAACAAAGATAAAAATAAACTATTGGGACTTCAAGACAAAAGTCTTTTGCACAGCAAAGGAAACAATTAACAAAACCTGAAGACAACTGACAGAACGAGAGAAGATGTTTGCAAATGGCATTACAGATAAAGGGCTAGTATCCAAATTCTATAAAAAACTTGTTAAGCCCAACACCCAAAGGACAAATAATCCAATCAAGAAATGGGCAGAAGACATGAACAGACACTTCTCCAAAGAAGACATGTAAATGGCGAAGAGATACATTAAAAATGCTCAACAACATTCATCACTGGGGAAACAAAAATCAAAACCACAATGAGATACCACCTCACACCAGTCAGAATGGCTAAAATTAACAAGTCAGGAAACAACAGATATTGGCAAGGATGTGGAAAAAGGGGAACCCTCTTACATTGTTGGTGGGAATGCAAGCTGGTGCAGCCACTCTGGAAAACAGTATGGAGGTTCCTCAAAAAGTTGAAAATGGAGCTACCCGACAACCTATGAATTGTACTACTAGGTATTTACCCACAAAATACAAATATAGTGATCTGAAGGGGCACCTGCCCCACAATGTTTATAGAAGCAATGTCCACAATAGCCAGACTATGGAAAGAGCCCAGAGGTCCACTGACAGATGAATGGATAAAGATGTGAGATATATATATATATATATATATATATATATATATATATATATACACACACACACACACAATGGAATATTACTCAAGCCATTAGAAAGGATGAATACTTACCATTTACATTGATGTGCATGGAACTTGAGGGTATTATGCTGAGCAAAATAAGTCAAGCAGAGAAAGACAATTATCATACAATCTCACTCATATATGGAATTTTAGAAACAAAACAGACAATCATAGGGGAAGAGAGGAAAAAATAAAACAAGATGAAATTAGAGAGGAGATAAGCCATAAGAGAATCTTAACTATAGGAAACAAACTGAGGGCTGCTGGAGGGGAGGAGGGCGGAGGGAGGGATAACTGGGTGATGGACATTAAGGAGGGCATGTGATGTAATGAGCACTAGGTATTAAAAAAGACTAATGAGGGGCACCTGGGTGGCTCAGTGGGTTAAAGCCTCTGCCTTCGGCTCAGGTCATGATCCCAGGATCCTGGGATCAAGCCCCACATCGGGCTCTCTGCTCAGCGGGGGGCCTGCTTTCCTTCCTCTCTCTGACTGCCTCTCTGTCTACTTGTAATCTCTGTCTGTCAAATAAATAAATAAAATCTTTAAAAAAATAAAATAAAATACTAATCTAATGGTTTGGCACTTCTTTATATGCTGTCTTCAATTGTTTTCTATTATTTCTCTGTATCAGCTTTGCCTCTCCAATTAGACTCTATACTTTCTCAAGACAATTCTGGGAACATAGTGTTTATTAATGAGAGACTTGTTAATTGGCTTAAATAAAGAAGAAAGGCAAAAAGAAGAAAGACTACCCTACTTTCTACACTTCTCTGTTTTTGAAGCACTTTAGAGATGTGACCAATATCCCTAATAGTCTGGCTGGACACTGAATGATTTATGAGAAGGGATTCTTCTCTAATGAAAAGGAATTCTATGTACTCTGGCAGTACAAACAGGCTTTTGGAAGTGATTGCAAAGACACAGAAAGGAAGCAGAGCTTCAGTTTTGGCTCTAGTTCTCCAGGAACTGAGAAAATAATAAATCCTTTCACCTAGTTTCAAATAAGCAATGTCAGGAAGCCCAGCCAATAAAGGAAAGATAAACTGAAGGCCTATTCACTTCTCCCTGTTAAATTTTACTGCTTCAGTTAGGCAAGCCTTGAAAGGATAAGCCTGAGAACTTATCTATAAAATCTTGATGCTCCACTGGAGTAAGACAGATGGAGAATGTATTATTACTATCTTTAAACTGAATTGCATTAATAAAGTTTTGGCAAAATTGACCTAAAAACTGATTAGTGCCCAGGTAGCCCCCAGGTCATTCTGTTACATTTTTTGAATTATAGCCCTCAAACCATCTGGTATATTCTTGTGCACTGGTTCATGTTACATATTTATTTTAAAACATAAGCTCCATGAGAGCAGAAACCTCATCTGCCTTATTCATCCCTTGTATCCCAAGTGCTTAAATAAGTGCCTGGCACAAAATAGGGGCTAATATATAACTATTGAAAGAACAAATGATAATGAGTAGCTCTCCAGTGACTCTAAGCGTTTGAAGGGCTAATCACATGATTTATTCCAAAAATACATTTGTTTCTTGCCTCATACAACCTTACCAAGCATGGTATGTGAGACGGGGAAGGTGATGGTGGGTTGGCCTGTCATCCTCCAGCGGCTACAGAGGTAGGAGAGATCTGTTCTAAGCATTTCTACTATCATCTTGTTGTCCAGAGCCAGGTAGAACTGTTGCTGGTCTATAAACTGAGAAAAAGAAGAAAAATGACAGTTCAGAATAATTTGCTCTTACAACTGTCCAGTAATATTTTAAAGTACTCACATATTCACAGGGCTATAAAACATGTCACAGAGGCAACAATATCCTCAACTTTAGTGCCTCGTTCTTTCCAAAGAATCTGATAGTCCATTGATACATATAACAGTTTTTGGCATTTTTACAGTGTAGTTTACAAAGTGTTTTTGAGTACAAAATTTTAGTTCATTATATAACAAATGAGTCAGGGCTTATCTTTTAATAGATGAAAATAAGGCCAAGTGACATTAAATGGATTAACAAAGTCACATGGCTAGCAAAGAGCAAGGCCAGAAATATGATCTGTAGTCCATTACTCTTCTGTCTATACCTCAGCAGCACAATTTCAGATTTATGATGACAAATGGGGAGCTTCAGCTTTCTGTCCAGAAAACAGTTTCTTCTCCTATGCACACATATAATTTGGCTTATTGATGTAATGTGGCTAATAAATATCAGGTCAATAATGTGTATAATCATGGCTAAAACAGTACTGACATTTTTGTTTGGATGATTTCCAGGCATGTAAAAAGGGCTCCTGCCCTAAACAAAGAGAACACATAATTCAGTAGCTAAATAAAAAAGATTATATTTTGTTAATAAAGGGCAAATACAGTCTGAATTTTTAACATTTAAAAGGAGTACTTTTTAAAGTACTCCAACATTTATAAAATCCCTAGTCACTGTTTCTGCAACACCCAGGACTACTCTTGGTAGCCATAATCACCTGGCATTATTCGGTGCTACAACTCCAACTCAGTCCAACTCAACAAATATTTATTAAGCAACTTAATATGGGCAAGGCCCCACGAACCTTAATACTTGTTCTAACTCTAATAAATGTTTTATTTCTGTAATGTTTCTGTTTCACTTCCATTCATCTCAATTCATACTAAAGCTCATTCCACCCACCTGTGGAGTAAAGGTGAAGATAGTTTTCCGAATGTCATAGAGTTTTGAAGTTCCAAGGACTCCCATATGCCTGTATGGTCGTCCACTGAGTTTCATTCTACTGTTGCATCCTGAGATTGAATTGAGAAATGCTCAAGATCTTTCTAGGGCACAAATCCAATCAACAAACAGGGTTTTTTTTTTTGTATTAGGTTTAGACTTTCTGATTGAACAAACTAAGTTCTGTGTCTTAAAGTTAGTATCCATGTCATGTACAAGGCCATACAAAGCACTTTCTAAGAGAAAAAGTACACAATTATCTCTGTTCTTAAAGGACTTTATGCTCTTATAAAGAAGTCACATAGTCTTATATATGAGAGAAAAGAATGCACATGAAAATTAATAGTTCTATGAATGATAGGATTCTATTACTGATATTTATATGCTGAATTTCCTTAAGTCCCACAAAAACTTGCAAAAGCCATACTATCAAACATTAATGTAAACTATGCTTCAATAAAGCTAAACAAAACCTCATCAACTTAAAGATGGCATACTAAACTGAAAAATGGAAATGATTTTATCTTGATCTCCTTTAATTGCATAGTACTGACATGTTTTAATTCAATGAACAACACATATTATCCAAATAAGTAAAAGTATTTAATATGATTATGTTTCATAGGAAATTTTGTGGAAGGAAACTTATACACAGAGTAAAATTCACTTTGCAGAGGAACATTTCTGAAAACTTAAGAAAGGGAACACATGAACTATCAGACAGCTACAAAAGACATAATTTTAATGAAAATTTAAACAGAATGTGTTCGTGTGTCTAAATATTATGTATGTGTGTATGTATGTACACACACACACACACACACACACACACACACACACACCTTATTTCCCTGGTATGTCTTCTTTTTTATAGTTTAGCATTAGAATCTGAAATTAGAATCTATCTGATAATTAATGTTTATGTTACATGTAGTTGAATTTCTTGTCTTTCAAAAGGTAATTATTACATCAATACCTCTTATAATGAAGAAATACTTCATTTATTCACACTTTTTCCCCTTTTATAACACAGGATATGTTGTATAACATAGGAGAGTACTATACACAAAGAGCTTGTTTTCAAACTCTTTTTCCCCAAAATATATATTGAATATCATTTCATGTTAGTACTGACAGAACTTTATCACCTTTTTTTTTTATTGGAACACATTTTTCTTGGGGATTTTATTATTGCCCCTGCTTTATCCTAAGTATGAAACTTATCAAAGATGCACATTTTTAGTGTTGCTTCACTTTTAGGGACAGAGCCAGAGAGCTGTAAATGCCTTGGTCATATTCCAGGGTCCACTCTGGAAAGCACACATTTTACCTTAGATTGATATCACAATCAGGTTTATCCACTGCTCCTTCTATTTTGTTTCTTTATTTATTGTAGTAAAATATACATAATATTTACCATTTTAACCATTTTTATTTTTTTTAAATAAATCTTCTATTTATTTGAGAAAGAGAGAGAGCGAGCGAGTGAGCATCAGCAGGGGGAGGGGCAAAGGGAGGAGCAGACTCCCCACTGAGCAGGAAGCCTGACACAGGGCTCAGTCCCAGGACCCTGCGATCATGACCTGAGCCCAAGGCAGATGCTTTAACCAACTGAGCCATCCAGGTGCCCCATTTTAATCATTTTTAATAAGTGGCATTAAGTATATTCACAATGTTGTACAACTATCACCACCACCCAACTTTAGAACTTCTCCATCTTCCCAAACTGAAACCGTACCCATTAAACAATAACTCCCCATGTTCTCTTCTTGCCAGTCCCTGGCAATCACCATTCTTTCTGTATCTATAAATTTGCCTTCTCTTGGTACCTCATATATGTGGAATCATATAATATTTGTCTTTTTGTGACTGGTTTATTCCACTTAGGATAATATCTTCAAGGTTCATCCATTTTGCACTATGTGTCAGAATTTAATTCTTTTTCAAGGCTGAAAAATTTTTCATTGTATGTGCATACCATGTTATGTTGATCTTTTCATTCATCACTGGACACTAGAGTATTTTTTTGGGTAATTTCTTATAGTATAATATACATGAAGTTAAGTATATAAATCTTAAATTTAAAAATTAATGAATTTTTACATAGTAAGAACACAACACAAATCAAGATATGGAATTAAAGAGGGAGACAAACCATGAGAGACTCTGGACTCCAGGACCCAAACTGAAGTTTACAGAAGGGAGGGGGTGGAGGGATGGGGTAACTGGGTGGTGGGTATTAAAGAGGGCACATGTGGTGATGAGCACTGGGTGTTATATGCAACTGTGAATCATTGAACACTACATCAGAAACTGATGTTGTACTACATGTTGGCTAATTGAACACTAAAAAAAAAAGGATATGGGACATTATCAGCACTATGGGAAGCCTCCCTTATGCCCCTTTCCCATTATTAACATCCCCCAGCTCCCAAAGTTAACCACATTCAAACATCAATCACCATAAATAAGTAGGTACATTTATTAGCTTTATATTAATAAAATAATAAAATATGTACTTTTTTGCATCTGGTTTCTTTCACTCAACATTTTATCTATGAGATTCATTCATACTGGTGTATGTAGAACTGATTCACTTGTTTTCATTGCTGTATAATGTTCCAGAGTATGAATGTATCATTATTTGTCCATTCACTTGTTGATGGACATTTGAGCCCCCCCCATTTTCTGTTATTGTAAATAAAGCTTCTATGAATATTCATGCCTTGCTCCACTGGCTATACACACCAGTACAATGCCAAAAGGAAGTGGTGGTGGTGGGCATTTCAGACATCTTATTGATGTCTGAAATGGGGCTAATGTGAGAAAACTTTTAATATTTTACCACTAAGTATGATGTTAGGTTTTCAGAATATAACCTTTATTAATAACATTTAAGGAAGTTTCCTTTGACTCCTATAATATTTTTATATGAATGGCTATTAAAATTTACCAATTTTTTGCATCTATTGAAATGCTCACATTTTTTTCTCCATTATTCTCTCTTTGTGTTGGGATATATTGATTGATTTATAAATGTTAAAACACCCATGCATACATTTAGTTGAAAATGATCTCTAAATCCCCATCTTCTCATTTCTCCTTTAATCCATGGGTTATTCGTAAGTAGTTTTTCTCTTTTTGGGAGCTATGTATATTTTGAGGTTACGCTATTATATAAATAAAAATTAAAGATTAAGATAGCTCCTGTTAAATTGACACTTTACTACCATAAAATATTTTTCATTGTTTCTACTAATATTTCTTGCCTTTTGTATACTTTGACATTAGCATAGCTCCATCAGCTTCAGTTTGTTTACTATTTGCATGGAATATTGTTTTATATCCTTTTGTTTTTTTTATGGATTTTATTTATTTATTTGACAGACAGAGATCACAAGTAGGCAGAGTGGCAGGCGGGGGTGGGGGGGAAGCAGGCTCCCCAACAAGTAGAGAGCCCAATGCATGGCTTGATCCCAGGACCCTGGGATCATGACCTGAGCTGAAGGCAGAGGCTTAACCCACTAGCCACCCAGGTGCCCCAATATCCTTATATTTTCAACCTGTATCCTTATACTTCTGGTAAGACTCTTTTATGTAGCATAAAGCTGGGTTTTACCTTATAATCCAGTTTGACAAATCTCTTTTAACTGAAACATTTAGTCCATTTACATTTAACATAGTTACTGAATGTTTGGGTTTAAATCTTACATTTTTTCATTCTTTATTTGCATTTTTAAAAAGTTTTATTTTAATTCCAGTTAGCTAACATAGTTATATTAGTTTCAGGTGTGCAATATAATAACTCAATTCCATAAATAACCTGGTGTGCTCATCATGACAAGAACACTCCTTAATTCCTATCATCTAGTTAACCTATCCTACCCTACCTCCCCTCTGATAACTATCAGTTTCCATTCTGTACTTGAGTCTGTTTCTTTCTCTTTTTTGCATTGCTCGTTTGTTTTTTAAATTCCACCTAAGTAAAAACATATAGTATTTGTCTTTCTCTGACTGACTTATTTTATGTAGCATAGTACTCTATCTCTGTCCATGTCATTGCAAATGGCAAGATTTCATTCATTGTTATGACCAACTAATATTCCATTGCATATATACATATACCACATATTCTTCACCCATTCATCAGTCGATGGACACTCGGGCTGTTTCCATACTTTGGTTATTGTAGATAATGCTGCTATAGACACTGGGGTACATGTGTTCCTTTCAATTAGTATTTTTTTTAAATTTTGGGGGTAAATAACTTGTAGTGTGATTGCTGGGTTACAGGGTAGTTCTATGTTTAACATTTTTAAAAAAAGATTTTGCTTATTTATTTGACAGACAGATCACAAGTAGGCAGAGAGGCAGGCAGAGAGAGAGGAGGAAGCAGGCTCCCTGCTGAGCAGAGAGCCTGATGCAGGGCTCGATCCCAGGACCCTGGGATCATGACCTGAGCAGAAGGCAGAGGCTTTAACTCACTGAGCTACCCAGGCGCCCCTATGTTTAACATTTTGATGAAAATCCATACTGTTTACCAAATTGGCTGTACCAGTTTGCACTTCCACCAACAGTGCAAGAGGGTTCCCCCTTCTCCACATGCTCGCCAACACCTGTTGTTCCCTGTTGTTGATGTTAGCCGTTTGACTGGTGTGAGGTGGTATCTCATTGTAGTTTGGTTTGTATTTCCCTGATGATGAGTGATTTGAGCATCTTTTCATATGTCTGTGACCATCTGGATGTCTTCTTTGGTAAAATGTATATTGAATCCCTCTGCCCATTTTTAATTGGATTATTTGTTTTTGGGTGTTGAGTTGTGTTGGTTTTTATATATTTTGGATACTAACTCTTTATCAGATATGTCATTTGTGAGTGTCTTTTCCCATTCTGTAGGTTGCCTTTTAGTTTTGTTGATTGTTTCCTTCGCTGTGAAGAAGCCTTTTATCTTGATATAGTTTCAGTGTTTATTTTTGCTTTTGTTTCTCTTGCCTCAGGAGACATATCTATAAAGAAGTTTCTAATGCTGATGTCAAGGAAATTCCTGCATGGGGCACCTGGCTGGCTCAGTCAGTAGAGCATGTGACTCTTGATCTTGGGGTGGTGAGTTAAAGCCCCACATTGGACATGCAGCTTACTTAAAAAGTGTGAAAAAAAGAGAGAAGTTGCTGCCTATACTCTCTTCTAGGGTTTTTATGGTTTCAGGTCTCAAAATTAGGTCTTTAACTCATTTTGAATTAATTTTGTAAGAAAGTGGTCCAGTTTCATTCTTTTGCACACTGCTGCCAAGTTTTCCCAACAACATTTGTTGAAGAGACTCTGTCTTTCCCATTGGATATTCTTTTCTACTTTGTTGAAGATTAATTGACCATATAGTTGTGGGTTCATTTCTGGGTTTCCTATTCTGCTGTACTGATTTATGTGTCTATTTTTTTTTTGCCAGTATGATACTGTTTTGATCACTATGGCTTTGTAATATAATTTCAAGCCCACAATTGTGATGTCTCCTGCTTTGGTTTTCTTTTTCAAGATTGCTTTGCCTATTTGGGGTCTTTTCTGGTTCCCTACAAATTTTAGGATTATTCTAGCTCTTTGAAAAATATTGCTGGTATTTTGATAGGGTTGCATGAAATGTGTAGATTGCTTTAGGAAGTAAAAACATTTTAACAATATTTCTTCTTCTAATCCATGATCATGGAATGTCTTTCTATTTGTTTGTGACATCTGCAATTTCTTTCATCAGTGTTTTACAGTTTTCAAAGTAGAGGTCTTTGCTCTCTCTTTTTTTTTTTTTAGGTTTTCTTAGGTATCTTTTTGTTTTTCATGCAACTGTAAATGAGACTGATTACTTAGTTTCTCTTTCTGCTTCTTCATAATTGGTATATAGAAATGCAACAGATTTCTGGACATTGATTTTGTATCCTGTGAGTTGACTGAATTAATTTATCACTTGTAGCAGTTTTTTCGTGGGATCTTTTGGGTCAGTTTGACTTCTTCCTTGCTGATATAGATGCTTTTATTCTTTTCGGTTGTCTGACTGATGTGGCTAGGACTTACAGTACTATGTTGAAGAAAATGGTAAGGTGAACATCCATGTTCCTGACCATTGAGGAAAAGATCTCAGTGTTTCCCCGTTGAGGATGATATCATCTATTATTTTTCATATATGGCTTTTCTTATCTTGAGGTATATTCCATCTAAATCAACTTTGTTGAGGGTTTTTTTTTTATCATAAATAGATGTCGTACTTGGTCAAATGCTTTTTCTGCATATGTTGAAATGATCATTTTGTTCTTATCCTTCCTTTTTTTTTTTTTTAGAGGGAGGGGAGGGGCAGAGGGAGAGGGAAAGAGAGAATCTTAAGCAGGCTCCACATCCAGTATGGAGCCTGATGCAGGGCTCAACCTCACAATGATGAAATCTTGATCTGAGCTGAAATCAAGAGTCAGACCCTTAACTGACTGAGTTACCCAGGTGCCTCCATCCTTTCTTTTTTAAAGTAATATGTCATTTGCAAATATTGAACTAGCCTTGCAATCCAGTAATCAATCCAAATTGACCATGGTGAATGATTTTTTAAATGTATTTTTAGGTTGGGTTTGCTAGTATTTTGTTGAGGATTTTTGCATCTGTGTTCATCACTGATATTAGCTTGTAGTTCTCTTCTTTTGTGGTGTCTTTATCTGGTGATACTATCAGGGTAGTGCAGGCTTCATAGAATGAATTTGGAAGTCTTCCTTCCTCTTGTATATTTTGAATAGTTTGAGAAGAATAGGTATTAACTCTTCTTTAAATGTAGGTAGAATTTGCTTGTAAATCCATTTTGTCCTGGACTTTTGTTTGTTGGGAGTTTTTTGATTCCTGATTCAATTTCTTTGCTGGTTATTAGTCTGTTCAACTTTTCTATTTCTTATGGTTTCAGTTTTGGTAGTTTATATGTTTCTAGGAATTTATTCATTTCTTCTAGGTTGTCCAACTTATTGGCATATAGTTTCTCATAATATTCTATTATAATTATATTTCTGTGCTGTTGGTTTTTTTTAAGATTTATTTATTTGACAGAGATCACAAGTAGGCAGAGGCAGGCAGAGAGAGAGAGAGGGAAGCAGACTCCCTGCTGAGCAGAGAGCCCGATGTGGGGCTCGATCCCAGGACCCTGGGATCATGACCTGAGCCGAAGGCAGAGGCTTTAACCCACTGAGCCACCCAGGCACCCCTTGGTTGTTATTTCTGCTCTAATCTTCATTATTTCCTCCCTCCTTCTGGCTTTAGGCTTTGTTTTTTGTTCTTTTTCTAGCTCCTTTAGGTGTAAGTTTAGGCTGTTTCAGATTTTTCTTGTTTTTTGAAATGGGTCCGTGTTAGTATAAACTTCCCTTTTAAGAATGCTTTTGCTGCATCCCAAAGGTTTTGGACCATTGTGTTTTCATCTTCATTTGTTTCCATGTGTTTTTAAACTATTTCTTTTATTTCCTGATTGACACATTCATTGTTTAGTAGGGTGTTATTTAACCTCCCTGTATTTGTGGTCTTTCCAGTTTTTGACTTCTACTTTCAAAGCATTATGGTCACAAAAGGTGCAGATATGCCTTTAAGCTTCTTGTATTTGTTAGGGCCTGTTCTGTGGCCTATTATGTGATTATTTCTGGAGAATGTTCCATTTGCACTTGAAAAGAATGCTTTTTTAGGATGGAATGTTCTGAATAGATATGATAAGTCCAACTGGCCCAGTGTGTCATTCAAAGCCATTTTTTCCTTGTAGATTTTGTTTATATGCTCTATCCATTGATGTGGGTGTGGCGTAAAAGTCCCCTACTATTATTGTGTTATCAATGGGTTCCTTTATGCTTATTATTAAATATTTTTATATATTTTGATATTCCCATAATGAGGGCATAAACATTTATAATTTGTATATCCTATTGTTGGATTGCCCCTTTGTGATTATATAATGCCCTTCTTTGTCTCTACTTAATGTGTCTATTAAAGTCTGGTTTGTCCAATATAACTATTGCTACTTTGGCTTTCTTTTGACATCCATTTGCATGATAAATATTTCTTTATCCCTTCATTTTCATTCTGTAGGTGTCTGTAGGTCTAAAATGTATCTCTTGTAGACAGCATATAGATGGGTTTTGTTTTTTGGTTTTTATCCATTCGAGGCCCTATGTCTTATGATTGGAGTAGTTAGTCCATTTACATTCACAGTAATTATTGATAGATATGTACTTAGTGCCATTTTATTACTTTTTGCCTGTTTCTGTATATTTTCTCTGATCCTCTCTTGTCTTTCTTGTGTTGTTGATTTTCTTTAGTGATATATTTGGAGTTCTTTCTCTGTATTCTTTGCATTTATGAGTGGTCTTTGATATATGGTTATCCTTAGGTTTGTATATAACCTCTTTTGCAAGTAGCACTCTATAGTAAGTTGATGTTCAATTAAGGTTGAACCCATTCTTTTCTCCTCACTCCACACATTTTAAGTCCAAGTTATTATATTTTATATCATTTTTAAAATGGCTTCCTTGAATGATTTTTTACAGAACTATTTATTTTTTACTGCTTTTTTGTTCCCTGCCTTTATACCATCACTTTTAGTCTCTCCTTTCCATTCAAAGTATCCCCTTTAATATTTCTTGAAGGGCTGGTTTAATGGTCATGAACTCCTTTAGTTTTTGTTTGTCTGGAAAACTCTTTCTCTCTCCTTCTATTCTGAATGATAGCTTTGCTGGATAGAGGATTCTTGGCTGCAGATTTTCCCCATGTAGCAATTTGGATATATCATACCTCTCCCTTCTGGCTTGGCAAGTTTCTGTGTGTGTTGTGTGTGCTCTACTATTGTGTCTGCTATTGCTCTATCCTTCTGGTTTGTCATCTGCAGATGCTCTCCTTGCCTTCTGTGGATATTGTTTCCTCCCTGGATTGAATGTGATGAGTTTTAACTGGTGTGCTCTAGTCCTCTTGTGAAATGAGACCTGACACCGCTTACGTGAGAACTGAGGCCCTGTAAAACTCTCTGTCTGGGACATGTGGTGTGAGCAGTCTTTTGTGCTGGTCTTCTGGGGGAGGAGCCAGCTGTGTTGGGACAGAGGAAAATGTGGCTGAGAAAGGCAGTTCCACTGTAATGCAAGGGGTTGGGTATCCAGTGTCTGCATGGCTTCTTCCAGCCAGTGGCTCTGTGTTTATGCTGGGGGGTGGAGGAGGGAAATGGTACCAGCCAGCTTTTTCCTCAACAGATTTCTCCATGAATGTTGCCTTTCAGGGACACTCAAAAAGAGCAAATAATGTCCCCAATGTGTGTGCTAGGCAATTTTCACATCATTATTTCCATGCTGTATTCTCCTGGGTTGTTTGTCTGCCTTCTCTCCAGAAGCAGCACAGTGCTCTCTGGAGTCTTATCCCAGCCTAGCTTGCTGACACTTAAAACTCTAGGCTTCAAGCCCTGCTAGTTTTAAGAACTCAAGAAATTCAGCTGCTCTAGCTTTCTAAGCCAATGGCTATGGGGAAACATTCTTCTTGTGCATTCCTTTGTGTGCTCCTCTCCCTCTCACCCTTCTCCAAGACAATGGCTCCATTCCCTCTGCAACAGCCAGGATCTGTTTCCCCCCTAAACCACATCTCCACATTTCCTACCTTCTTCAATGTGGCCTCTTTACTCCTTTTAGTTATGGAGTTTGTTCTGCCAGTCTTCAGGTTGATTTCTGGGATATTTAGGATGATTTAATAGTGATCTAGTTGTATTTGAGGGGTGAGGTCAGCCTAGACTTTGCTGCCATCCTCCTCTCCCCTATCTTATCTATTCATTTACCAATGGACATGTGGCTGCTTCCATAATTTTGCTATTGTAAATAATGCTGCTATAAACATAAGTGTTCATGTATCACCTTGAATTAACATTTTCCTATTTTTTAAGTATATACCTAGTAGTGTGATTATTGGATCATAGCGTAGTTTAATTTTTAACTTTTTGAGGGTTCTTCATACTATTTTCCACTGGTGGTTGCACCAGTTTGCATTCCCACCAATAGTGCACGAGAGTTCCTTTTTCTCCACATCCTCACCAACACTTTTTGTCTCTTCTGTTGTTGATTTTAGCTATTCTGACAGGTGTGAGGTGAGAGCTCATTGTAATTTTGATTTGCATTTCCTTGATGGGAAGTGATGATGAACATCTTTTCATGTGGCTGTTGGCCATGTGTAAGTCTTTGGACAAATGTCTATTTGTCTTCTGTCCATTTTAAAATTACTTGTTGTTTGGGTGTTGAGTTTTATCAGTTCTTAAATATTTTGAATACTAACCCGTTATCAGATACGTCATTTATAAATATCTTCTCCCATTCCATAGGTTGCTTTTTAGGTTTGTCGACTGTTTCCTTTGCTCTGTAGAAGCTTATTATTTTGATGCAGTCCCAATAGTTTGTTTTGTTTTTGGTGCAACTTTAAATGGTATTGTTTCCTTCATTTTACTTTCTGCTGCTTCATTATTAATGTATAGCAATGAACAGATTCCTGCACATTGATTTTATCTCCTGAGACTTGCCCAAATTCATTTATGTGTTCTGGTGGAATCTTTAGTGTTCTCTCTATATAGTATCATGTCACCTGCAAATAGTGAGAATTTAACTTTTCCTTACCGACTGGGATGACTTCTCTTTTTGTTGTCTGATTGCTTGGCTAGGATTTCCAATACTATGTTGAATAAAGTGGTGAGAGTGGACATTCTTGTCTTGTTCCTGACCTTACGGGAAAAGCTCTTATTTTTCCCCCATTGAGTATGATGTTGGCTGTGAGTTTTTCATACAAGGCCCATATTATGTTGAGGTATGTTCTCTCTAAACCCATGTTGCAAGAGAGGTTTTTAAAAATCATAAATGGAAGTTGTACTTTGTCAAATGTTTTTTCTCCATCTATTGAATTACGGTTTTTATTCTTTCTCTTATTGATGTGATGCATCATGTGATTCTTTTGTGAATATTAAACCACCCCTGCATTCTAGGAATAAATCCCACTTGATCGTTCTCTATAATTTTTAATGTTTTGTTGGATTTGGTTTGCTAATATTTTGTTGAGGATTTTTGCACATACATTTATGAGAGTTATTGGCCTATAGTTCTCTTTTTGCGGTGTCTTTATCTGATTTTGGTATTAGGGTGATACTAGCCTCACAGAATGAATTTGAAAGTTTTCCTTCTTCAATTTTTTTTTTAATAGTTTGAGGTGAACATGTATTAACTCTTCTCAAATTTTTGATAGAATTTGCTTGTGAAGGCCTCTGGTCCTGGACTTTTATTTTTTGGGGGGGATTTTTGACTACTGATTCAATTTTATTTCTGTTAATTTGTCTGTTCAAAGTTTCTGTTTCTTCCTGCTTCAGTTTTGGTAGGTTACATGCTTCTAGGGATTTGTCCATTTCTTCTAAATTGTCCAATTAGTAGGCATATAGTTTTTCATAATATTCTCTTATACTCTCTTGCATTTATGTGGTGTCAGTTGTTATTTCTCCTGTTTCATTTCTGATTTTGTTTATTTGGGTTCTCTCTCTCTCCTTTTGATGAGTCTGGCTAGAGGTTTATTAATTCTGTTGATCTTTCCAAAGAATGAGCTCCTGGTTTCATTGATCTGTGTCATTGTTTTTTTAGTTTCTATATAATTTATTTCTGCTCTCATATTATTTCCTTCCTTTTGCTGTGTCTGTGTTTTGTTTGTTCTTTCTTTTCTAGCTCCTTTAAGTGTAAGGATAGGTTGTTTCCATTTGACATTTTTTTTTTCTTCTTGAGGTGTTTATTGCTACGAACTTTCTTCTTGGAACCACTTTTGCTGCATCCCAAGTGTTTTCTGGACCATTGTCCTTTCATTTTCATTTGTTTCTATGTGCTTTTAAAAATTTCTTCTTTTATTTCTTGGTTGACTCATTCATTGTTTAGTAGCATTTTTTTTTAACCTCTATGTATTTGTGCTCTTTCCTGATTTTTTCTTGTGTCTTCTATTTTCATAGCATTATGTTCAGAAAAGCTGCATGGTATGATTTTGATCTTTTTGAATTTGTTGCAATTTGTTTTGTAGCCTAATATGTGATCTATTCTGGGGAATGTTCCAAGTACACTTGAAAATAATGTGTATTCTGCTGCTTTAGAATGGAATGTTCTGAAAATATCTGCTAAATCCATATGGTCCAATGTGTCATTCAAAGCCCATTTCCTTGTTGATTTTCTGTTTGCATGATATGTGCATCAGTGTTAAGTGGAGTGGCAAAATCCCCTACTATTGTTATATTAGTATTCATTATTTCCTTAATAGTTTTATGCATTTGGTTGCTCCCATGTTCAGTGCCTAAATATTTACAATTGTTATATGCTCTTATTAGGTTGTCCTCCTTATTAATATATATTATAGTTATATATATTACAGTTATAGTCTTTGTTTAAATTCTATTTTGTCTGATACAAGTTTGTTATATATATAAGTTTGTTATATATATTATAGTTATAGTCTTTGTTCAAATTCTATTTTGTCTGATATAAGTATTGCTGCCCTGGCTTTCTTTTTTGATATCCTTTGGACCAAGGCCAGCAGGACTGGGAAGCGTAGATATGCTGACACATTGAGGAGGAAGCCTGTGTAAGAAAGTTAGGTAATGAGTGTCAGTGCTGTGCTGATTTCCACAGGTAGCCAATGTTTATGCTGGCTGGGGGAGTGAAATAGCACCTGCCAGCTTCTGGGTTCCTGGAGGGGTCTCCCCATGATCCCTGTCTCTCCAGGCCACACTTCAAGATAAGCAAATCACTCACCATCCCATCTGCCCCTGGTGTTTTTCAAACTGTTGGTTCTATGCTGTATCAGCATGGGCTGTTTGCTGTGCTGCCTCTTTGGCGGCGGGGGTGGGGGGGTGGGGGGGGCTCAACTTCCTATTGCCTTTGGGGCTTACCCAGAGACAAGCCTGCCAATTTTTAAAATTCCAGGCTTTAAGTCCCACTGGTTTTAGGAACTAATGAAATTCAATCCCTCTCATTTTCAAAGGTAAATGTTATGGGGATTTGTACTTCCTGTTGCATGCTTCCCAGTGTGAAAATCTGTTTCTTGCTCTTCTCCACACCATTGGCTGTATCCTCACCACAGGTAGTCATGATCTGTCTTCACCTAAATCATATCTTGCCCTTAATACTTCCATGATGTGCCCTCTTCTCTACCTTTAGATGTGGAGTTTGTTCTGCTAGTCTTTAGATAATTTTTCTGGGTTATTTATGGTGATATGAGTGTTATCTAGTTGCATTCATGGATGAGGTGAACTTTGGGGTTCTCCTACTTCATCTTCTGAGCAAACCTAAATCTTACAAATTACTACAGAATTTCCATTTGCTCTGTTTATTCCTTTCTTTTCCTCACTTCCTTTTGGATTAATCACAAAATTTATTACATCATTTTAACCCCACTTGCTTGTAATTCTTTCATTACTCCTTTGATGCTTACTCCAGAACAACTCTTCTCAACCAGATTCCACCAGACTATTATGCTCTAATTTTTAAGGCATTGATTGTCTGTATTATCTTACCTTCTTTGCATTTAAAAATGGAACTAGTATGTGCAACCTATAGGGGAACTGAAAAACCCCATTTTCTGGTAGTTTAATTTTGTGGAAAACTATTTGAAAAAAGCTGTCCCAGAGATTAAAACATGCATCCTTGACTGATTAGAGTGTACCTTAAATTTGTACCTTTACTATTCATTGAATAATGCAAGAATCTTACAACACTAACTCCATTCATATTCTGCCTGCACTTTTTTTTTTGCCACTCATCTCTACTTTTATTTCATCCACAAAGCACTGTTATTAATGTTGCTTTAAACAGTCAATAGTCTTTTATATTTACTATTTCTTTTTCTCTTTATTCTTTCCTGCATTCCTATTCTTCTGTCTGGGATTTTTTTTTTTTTTTTTTTTTCCTAAAGAACTCCCTTTAGTATTTCTTTTACTATGAGTCTGCTAGTGATACATTTTCGATTTTTACTTATCTGAACATGACTTTATATTGTTTTCATTTCTTCTTTTTAAAGATGATTTATTTATTTATTTGGGAGAGGGATAGAGAGAGAGAGCATGAGCAGGGGGTAGGAGCACAGGGAGAGGGAGAAGTGGATTCCCTGCTGAACAGGGAGCCCAGTACGGGGCTCAATCACAGGACCCTGAGATCATGACCTGAGCCAAAGGCAGACATTTAACCAACTGAGCCACCCAGGCACCCCATATCATTTTTATATCTGAAAGATATTTTCACTGGATATAAAATTCTAGTCTGGCAGTTATTTTCTCCAAGTAATTTATAGGTGTCATTCACTGTCCTGTGGAATTCATTGGTTTGTTGAAAAGTAAGCTGTAAGTTTGATCATTGTTCCTTTGAAAGCAATGTATCTTTTCTTAACTTTGGCTATTTTTAAGATTTTTCTGTCTTGATTTCCAGAAGTTTGATTATTAAAGGCTTAGGTTTTTTTTCTTTGTATTTATCTTGTTCACAGATTTTTTTAGCATTTTTAAATGTGTGAATTAGTATCTTTGGTCAGTTTTGAAAAGCTTTTAGTCATTAATTTTTCAAATACAGTTTCTGTTCCATTATTTCCTCTTATTCTTGGGCTCCAGACCCTCTACTATATCTGTCTTGTAATGCTTTTACAATTTTACGTTCTTTTCTCTCTTTTGGCCTATAATCTGAATATTTTCTACTAACTTACTTTTCAGTTCACCAATCCTCTCTTTTGCTGTTTCTCATATGGTGTTAATCCCATCTATTGCATTCCCAATACCAGTTACTGTAATCTTTAGTTTTGGAATTCTATTTGATCCTTTTTTCACAGATGGAATTATTCTCTTAATTTTCCTTTTGGATTATTTATTATTAATGCCTAAAAATGCAACTAATTTTTGCATGTTGTTTTTGTATCCTGCAATTTTGCTGAATTTGTTCTTTTTTGTTTTTCGGAGAATCTTTAGGATTTTCTACATATAAGACCATGTACTCTGCAAACATTTTTACTTTTTCCTTTCTGACTTAAATGCCTTTTATTTCTTTTTCTTGCCCACTTGCTCTGGTTAGAACTTCCAATACTATGTTAAATAGAAGTCTGTATATCTGTTTTGATTTTTTTTTTTTGGCTTTCGTTTATTTGGTTTCCTAGCATATCTTATTATATATTTTCAATGCTGAACACATTGTACAAAGAATTACAGAGGCTCTGGATAATATTATTTTCTTCCAGAGGTGATTTAGTTTATTTTGGCAGGCAGATACACCACTAGCAGATCACCTTAGTCCATTCAGTGACTGAGAAGATTGTGTTTTAGGCTTTGTGTTTTAGGCTTTCTGGGAACTGGTCTATTTGTGATTTGCCTTTACTTTTAGGATGTAGCTCACCCTTCAGGGACTCAACTGAAAAACTGGAGTGTTTATCACAGCTTCTTCCACAAAGAAAGTTCCTGAGATAAAAGTTTTGTTTTCCTAGCATGAGACGTTATCCTTCATTTCTTGGCCTCTCATTCCATGCAAGCACAGCTCAAGAAGCAAATGCCTCAAAGGGAAACTGCACAGAGAATAAAGAATATTGCTTACTTTGCTGAGGTACTCTTCTCTCCAGGGTTTTGGCTTCTCAAGTCCTGGCCACCTTAATTATTTTCTAATGCCTTATTTACCTATATCTTTTAAATACAGCCATTATAGTTGTTTTTAGTATGAAGAGTAGTCTGATACAAACCACTTCACAACTGGAAGCTGGAAGTCTACCTTATTCTTTTTAACTGTGGCATAACATATCATACATAATTCAACCATTCTTGTTCATACATATTAGGTTGCTCCTAATTGTTGTTTTGTCATTATAAATTATGTTGTAATGAACAGCTTTGTACATGTATACTTGTATATTTGTATGAGTACTATATAGGGTAGATTCCTATGAGTAAGGTTGTTAGTCAAAGATATGTGTATAAAATCTAAAAAAAAAATTTTATAGGTAATGCCAAATTACCTCCGATTTACACTACTACCAGGAGTGCCAAGAGTGTCCATTTCTCCACATATTCACCAGTAATGGGTAATATCAATCTTAACTTTTGTAAAATTGATGACAAAAAGTTTTTATTTCATTGTTGTTTCATCTTACATTTCCCCAATTATTAAAGAGGCTGAAGTTTGACAACTTAGAAAGTGTAGTGCTAAGAAAGGAGAAACTGTGACCAACAGCACCAAAAAGTAACACACACACACATACATGTGTTAGAGAGGCTATATATGTACAGTAAATGATTAAGGTAACATTTCAAAACTCTTTATATGAACTATTCAACCAATAGTGCTGGGAAGACTGGCTAAGTATTTGGCAAACAAGTTATGATTCTTACATCATAAGATAAACTAAAATTAAAATTCTAGACTAAGAGCTAAATGTAAAATTGTAACTGTAAAGAACTAAGAAAATATGGTAAAAGTGTATATGACATAGGGATGAATCTATCTTTCTAAGCATAACAGCAAAGAAACCAAAAAGGAGACAATTATACTATGTAAAAATGTAAAACTATATATCAAAATTAAATACAAAATTAAAAGGCAAATAAAATAGCAAAGTACTGCAATAACATGGAAGACAAAGTATTAGCATTCCTAATATATAAAAAACTTGTTTAAAGCAATAAGAAATTGATAATTTTCCAGTAGAAAAATGATAAAGGAATATACATAATTTACAAAATAAATAGAAAAAAGTCTACTTAATTTATAAAAACAATTTATCATCCATATGTCTAAAAAATTGAAATGCTAACACAAATATTAAAATAGTGTTGTAGAAGGTTATTTAAAAAAAGATAATAGGGTTCATCATACATTATTATTATGTTGCAAAGTACAAATAGCAAAAACTGTTCTTTCTGACACTGTTTTTCTAAAAAAAAGTGCGTATTTATTTTACAAAAAAAATGATTAGAAGCAAATATTCTAAAACAAAAACAGTGGCTTCCTATGAGTGTTAGAATTATAGGTGACTTTTATCTTTTCCTTTGTGCCTTTTTCTACTTTCCAGTTCCCTTCATTCAACACATACATTTCAATTTGTAATCCTAACTTACTATTTATGAAAACTGAAGAGAATGAGAATAGCACATCTATTCAAATGAAACTAGGAGATAAATTTATAATTCCTGAGGAAATGAGATATATCTGATAAAATGAATGTATTTGATGTTCAAAAATTTGCACGAAGGCAAGAAAATAATTATCTAAAGAAAGTTACAGAACAGAAAATATATACATTACAAACTTCATTGACAAAAACTTACCATAAGGTATACTTAAAGAAGAGATTATACTGAGTGAAATAAGTCAAGCAGAGAGAGTCAAGTATCCTATGGTTTCACTTACTTGTCGAGCATAAGGAATAACAAGGAGGACATTGGGAGATGGAGTGGAGAAGTGAGTTGGGGGAAATTGGAGGGGGGGACAAACCATGAGAGACTGGACTCTGAGAAACAAACTGAGGGTTTTGGGGGCAGAGGTTGGATAGGCCTGGTGGTGGGTATTATGGAGGGCACGTATTGCATGGAGCACTGGATGTGGTGCATAAACAATGAATACTGGAACATTGAAAAGAAATAAAATAAAATGGAAAAAGAGAATTGTTAACTATATATGAAAATGTGCAGATCCTGCTAGATATGCAAGCCATAGGAAACACAACTTCAAAAAAAAAGTAGAGCAAAAGTGAAGAAATGCATATCCTCACTGGGAATTAAAGAAAGGCAATTAAAATAGCATGTGTAGTAATACTACTAATCTAACAAAAACAAATGATAAAAATTCAATGTTGGTGGGGTAGTAAAAATAAAAAGGTATAATTTGTATTTACTGATGCCACTAAAAATTGGTTGGTATTTCTAAAGAATAATCTGGCAACATAAAATAAGAACTACAAAGTTGTCCATACTTTTTTATCCAGAACCCCTTTTCTGAGAATATACTCCAAAGAAACAGAAGTATACATAAGAAAGCCTATACAAAGGCATTCATAGAATGACAAAAACTTTGGAAACAATTAAAGTACCCAATAATTAGGGAATAATTAGTTTAACTTGATGGAATAATATATAGTTCTTTCAGTATGTAAAAATACTCACATGAAAGAGTAAGTGAAAAAAACCACAAATTAATATGCATACACTGTAACTGTAAATGTATGTGCACTAACAGATTAGAAAAGAATTAGAATTATATAAAGATTTAAGTTGAATATTTATGAAGTTCTTATGTTACTAAATTTGATTAATCTCGTATTTTTGTTAAAGAAGATTTATTTATTTATTTATTTATTTTAGAGAGAGCAAGTAAGCAAGCATGGGTGAGCAGGGGGAGGGCAAAAGGAGAGGGAGGAGAGGAGCAGATGCCCCAATGAACATGGAACCCAGTGGGGCTCCATCCAACAACCATGAGATCAATGACTTGAGCTAAAACCAAGAGTTGGAACCATCTGAGCCACCAGGTGCCCCAATTAATCTCGTACTTTAAAAATGTTTTAAAAATATATTATGGAACTGAAATACATGAAATGCAATATTTGAGGTGAGGCAAACATTCCCATTTAGTTAACATATACATATATATGAACACACCTGGTGAAGAAATCTCTCTCTCTTTTTTTGTATTATAGTTGTCACTCGATGTATGCTTAAAGCAATTTTGTTATTGTGAAATTGTAACTATGATAAAACTTTGAAGATTCACCCATTTGATAAGTTATCAAATCATGCCTTTTATGACTTTCCCAGACAGATCTATCCTCTTTGCCCTGTGCTTTATACATAACACCATTACTACAGCATTTATAATATTGTACTATAATTAGCTGGCTACTTGTCTATGTCACCAACAGCATCTAGCCCAGTGCCTAGTACATAATAAGTGAGCAACAGATTGTTATGAAAGAACAAATGAATGAAGTAAATGAAGGAATATATTTAGAAAGTAAATGCAGCTTGTTACTAGGGTCCTGTAATGGTTAATCACTCATTAAACTTAAGACCATCATTCTTAATTTCCTTTGACTAGGAAACAATAACTTAGAAGCCCTAAACAAAGTGCAGGCTTTGAAAAAGCAATCAGTAAGGAGTTTGCTTCAATTTGTTGGAAAATGTGATGTGAATGTGATGCAGGTCGATTCCAAGAATGATGGCCCAGTGCTTGGAAATTACCTATATCCTCGTAAGATTATGCTGAATTTAGAGCAGTAAGTGTGAAGAAACCAAGGGTATAATTAACCTCTCATCTTCCGAGTGACAACCAGAGAGAATCAGGTCAAAGGCACCAGTAGGACTTACATGAACTCCAAACTACAAAGACTTCTAAGAGGGGCAAAGAAGGTGACTAGAAAATCAACTAATACTTGTTCCTGGAATAAGATTTGGGCCAGATAGAGAAATACCTTCCTGATGTCAACAGATTTAGTGGACTGGTATCTAGAAACTACGAGCACATTATAGTCTGAGACTAGACGGAATGGCCAAGAAGATAAAAAACAGGAAAAAGATTCTAGGAAGGACTAAAATATCCATCCCATCTTGTAAAGAATCAACTCAAATTAATCTCTGAAGTTTCAGAGTCTTGACTTGGAATTTATCTGGGATAGAGTTGAGTAAGTGAGAGGAACCAGGGGCTCAGTATTTTGTAATAGTCAGGCTAAGCTGTGGCTAGATTTCAGAAATTAAATAGGAGCTGAGATATATACTCAATAAACTTGTCATTTTCATGTGTTTATATTTAAGTTTCCCATTTTTTAAAGTAAAGTTTCTTTAGGAAATTTCAAATTTGCACTTGAATTAAAAAGAAAAGGAATTTTGTACATTATAGCTAGGATGGAAGAAGGGGGAAATTAGTATATTCCTAAAGTCAGATGTAATCTTAATAGCTCTGGGAGTTAAGGCTCTCTTGGCATATGAGTGTTTAGGAGACACAGAGAAAAGTCACCTCTGACTGTTGGTCCTTTCCTCCTTGGTTGATTCCATCTCAATTGAGATTTACATAACTGCTGTAGAAACTGAGTGTCTGAAGAAGGTGTTAGTAAAATGGGAAAGCAACTGACTGGTTTTGAGCTGGACAAGATTTGACTTGGCTGTAATTACTAAGAGACCATTCTTGGAGGAGAAGAAAAGTACACACACACACATATACAAAGAAAGTATACACACACACACACACACACACACACACACACAAAGTAGGCTTTGGGTTTGTAAGTGATAATCCATTATCTAGGATATAATCTTTATTTATAAATTTGCCCTTTTGTGGCTTGATTTAAGATTGTATTAATTTCTAACTGGTGATATAACAAATTACTACAAACTTAGTGGCTTAAAATAACACACATTGAAACTCTTACAGCTCTGAAAGTCAAAAGTCCAAAAGAGGCCTTATGGATATTATAAGGTAAAATAAAAATATCAGCAGGGCTGGTTCCTTCTGGAGGCTCAAGGGGAGAATCTGTTCCTTGTCTACTCCAACTTCTAGAGGATAAGGCTAGTAGCTTATCACTTCAATCTCTTGTTTCTCTCCTCACATGTACTTCTATAGGCAGATCTTCCTTTGGCTCCCTCTCATATATAGGACACTTGAGATTACATTTAGGGCCCACCTGGATAACTGAGACTAATCCTCCCGTCTCAATCTCTTTAATTTAATTACACTTGTAAATCCCCTTTTGATATATATGGTAACATTCACAGGTTCCAGAGAGTAGGGTCTGGATATCTTTGGGGACCATTTTTTAGCCTTCCATAGTTCATCCTCTGGCTCCTACAGATTCATATACCTCCCACTTACAAAGTGCATTCATCCCATTCCAACATTCTGCAAACTCTCAACATATTACAGCATCAACTGGTCCAAAATCTCTTCTAAATATCATTATTTATAAAAGCCCCAATTCTCATCAGCTAAATCAGGTATGGGTGAGGATTTGGGTATGATGTGTCCTAAGGCAAAATTCATGTCCATCTGTGGACCTCTGAAACTAGAAAACAAGTTATATTCTCTAAAAATACAGGGGTACAATACAAATTATAGACATTCTCATTCCAAACAGGAGAAAATGGAAGGAAGGAGTCAGTAGTCCCAAACAGTTTTAAAATCCAACTGGGCAAACTCCATTATGTTTCAAGGCATGGTAGTAATCCTCTGTGGTTTGAGGCTCTACCCTCTGGGTGCAAGACACCTCCCTTGAAGTCATCCTTCTTTTTTCTTAAAGAATAGCACTTGTTCATAGCTTAGCAGTTTTATCAGCCTGCTTCCTGGCTATATAACTTTGGGAGTCCAATATCCATCTTTAATCTTGTCCTCTGTCCAGTTCAGTCCAATTTGGCAGTGTTTCTGCACATATTACATTCTCAAAAACTTTGTGGGTACTGCATATATGTCATGGAGGTTCATTGCGTTAGACAAGAGGGTCCTCCCTAAGATCTGTCCTGGATAATCACATCTCTATCCCTAGATTCTGCTAATGTGGTTGAGGGAATCCATGAGTCACAACCTTATCTCTTCAAACAGCCCACTGTGTGAATGAACACACTGATCTTTTGATCTTTCTGAAGCACTAGAAGAAGGTTGTCCAGCTATATTCTTGACCTTTTTTCCAGAGCATGCTTTCCTGATAGCAAATCTCCTACTAATTTTATCATCTTTTCCAATCTAAGATTTCATCAAGTCCTGGTTCCTTTTTGCTTAACTGTTCTTCCCTCAATAGTCTTTCCTTCTTGCATTTTTACTATAAGCAGCAAGGAAAAGCCAGGCCATGATTTCAACACTTTGCTTGAAAATCTCCTTAATATCCAAGTTCATAATTTATAGTTGTGTTTTCCACATAAAACAGGACACAATTCAGCGAACAATCCTTCTGTTACTACAACAAGGATCCTTTTCCTCAAGTTTGCAATAACATGTTTCTAATTTCTTTCTGAGCCCTCACTGGCCATTCCTTTTAGCATCCTTATTTCTACCAACAGTTTGTTTAAAGCAGTATTGATTTTTTCTATCATGTGACTCAAAATTCTCTCAGCCTCTATCCATTACTTGATATCAAAGCCACTTCCACATTTTTTAGATATTTGTTACAGTATCACCCCACTTCCTAGTACCAAAATCTGTATTACCTTCCTATTCCTGCTGTTAATAAAGTACTACAAACTCAGTGGCTTAAAGCAACACATATTTCTTTTCTTACAATTTTGGAGGTCAGAAGCCCAAAATGAGTCTTTCAGGACTAAAAACAAAATCAAGGTGTCAACAGGGCTGGTTTCTTCTGGAATCTCCAGGAGAGAGTCTCTTCCTTGCCAATTCTAACTTCTAGGGGCTGGGCATTCCTTGGGAATCTTTGGCTCATAGCTACATCACTCCAGTCTCTTGTTTCTGTTGTCACATGCACTGCCTTTTATCATCTGAATTCCCTCTGCTTTCCTTTTATAAGGATACTTGTGATTACATTTAAGGTCTACCTGGAAAATCCAGGACAATCCTCCTCATCTTGAGCCCCTTACATTAATCATACCTGCAAAGTCTCCTATGCTATATAAGGTAATATTCATAGGTTCCATGAATTAGGATCTATATGCTTTTGGGGGCCATTAATCAGTCTTCCACAAGAGTAGTTTTGAAATTTGCAGAGCCTTTTTTTTTAGTTAATGGTGCAGTGATTTGTTTAATGTCAAATTTGTAATAAATTGTATAACTTTGTAATTTGTAGTAATCTGCTTAATGTGTCTATCATTAAGTTTAATAAATTAGATAAAAATTGAGTAATAATTAAAATAAGTATTAGATTAAGTGGAATATTGTAATATTGTCAACCCATTCATTACATGACATGGTATAAAAGACCTAAAAAAACGTTCCTGGGCTATTGCTTTACATAAAATTAACATGTATTCAGAATGGAAATATATGCCTCAAGAAAGGGGAGAACATGTTAGTTAAGCATTCACTTGGAATGAAGATACAGTATTGTTTGCTTACAGTCACACCCTATATACTGGATTCATAAACACATTCAAAATTATCAAGCTTGCTCAGGATATACTGGGTTAGAAACTTAGGTTCCAGAGACTCTGAATTCCTTCTCAGATCCAGTTTAATAAAGCAGTACAAGATTAAAAAGAAAAGAAACCAGCCTGTACCGAATAATGCTTTGATTATTATAATGACTGATTATTAAGGCCGATCTCCTTACCTAGGCTGGAATAAATGTGGCTGAGAATACGGGCTGGTTGTACTCTGATAGGGTATACCTCAGCAATGGTCTCCACATCAATCCCCTTGTCCTTCAAAATGGCCTTGATTTCTTCTGTCTCGGCTAGAATGGAAACTACAGGAATGAAAGAAGATGAGGTCAACAGAAACTTTTATTTCAATAGGAACCTAAAAATCTCTCAAGCCACGTAATTTCTTTTGAAAGGAAGAGAATGAAAATGGGAGGAAATTAACAGTTATTGAGGAAATTTGATGAAACAAGTATCATGCTAGGTACACAACACAATTATCTAAATGGAAAAGGAAAAAGACTCATGCCTGAAGTATTAGATTCTGCTTTTTTGGCTAAGTGCAAGGTGCTCCTAGAGAATGCCATACTCTTTATACCTGAGATTCCACATTTAAATAGGGGAAAAAATCCAACACAAGGTATGTTACAGCTTTGGTTCCAAGGCTCTTTCATATCCTTACACCAGACAGGATTTTGAGGGTAATAAAGAACACCCAAATAATAAGAATTATTCTATAGCCAGAGAATGGTAGAAGACAAGGGAAACTGGGAATAAAGAATTGAGATGCCATAGTTAAAACTGCATATGGTTGTTTTGGGGTTAGGGGGGTAGACTCTAGACTCTGAGTCTGCCAAGCCTGGACAGCTCCCTTTTATTCCTGTTATATTCATGTTTCTGAAGTGCTTATCACAGTCACAAGGGAGGAGGCCATGCCAGCTCCCTGACTCTTCTGTTTACTTTCCCTCTAGGGGACAGATATCTGGCTGGGGGCTAATAATCTGAGTGGGGCCTCAGTTGGCTTGACACTAAGGACTGAGAGCAAATATGTGCCCTATTTCTGTTTCTCCAGTGCTGGTGAATGTGCTGAATTGGGTTTATGTGAAAATGAAGGTACCATTTGGTTCATTTAAGTTTACTAGTATTTTCTATGTTGAGTGTTTGGGACAAAAGCCTAGTTAACAGAGTACACTTTCTTTTTCTTTGCCATTATCTTTCGTGTATATTTGTGTGTGTGTGTGTGTGTGTGTGTGTGTGTGTGTGTGTGTCTTTCTATCTTGGAAGCCTCATGGTATTGTGTTGCTGTTGGTCTGGGTCAGGATGTGCAGCTTTTGGCAATCACAGGGCCCCCTGGACATAACACAATCTCAATTACTTGTAACTAGAAACATGAAAATGACAAAGATTCCCCAGGGAAAAGAAACAAAGGAGGAATGATAGTGGGCTAAGGAAAGTCCAGGAAAACACACGTGGTCATCCATTCATTCATTAACAAACATTTGTAAGCACCTAAATGGACAAAGTACTATTCGAGGCACTAGGGATAAAGAGATGGATAAGTTAGTCTCTCTCTTTAAGAGCTTACAGTGTGATGGAAGTGACATACATATAAGCCAATTATAAAATAAGCTGCTAGGTAACTAGAGAGATGCATAAAACACTGTAAGCCCTGGAGAGTGACACCTATCAAGTCTGGGACAGTAGGAGAGTGCTTTCAGAAAAGGCTTTCTGAAAGAGATGATGTCTAAGCTGAGTTTGAAAGAATGAACTTTAGCCAGGAGAAAGAAGGGAATAGGGATGGGGAAATCCATTTTAGGTATAAAGTACATGATAATGACAAAACATGGAAATGAAAAAAGACTGTGTGTCGGGTGAAGAGAACTACATATACTTCAATATTGTTGTTGCATAAAATATTTTGCACAGTGGTTTAAAAAAAAAGAATCTGGAAAGGCAGACAGAGGCTAGATCTTTATGGAGTGCATATGTTTTACTTTTAAGGATTTTGTAATTTATCTTTGGGCGATGATTACCTAACTGCATTCTACTGAGCTTCAGGGCTCTGCAGAGGGCAATGCATAGAAAGAGAATCAAATGAACAACATTTTGGGGTGCTAGGAACACTTTCAACCCCAACAGTGGAGCTTTTTTTTTAAACTTTATGTTTTATAAAATATTTAGGAAATTCCACCTATGTGCTAAGCACAGCCAAATGCAAGGAGTACAGAGATAGACATGATCCCTGAAGAAAATGACACTGATACTGAGTTCTGCTAGAAGGCTGAATAGAAATTAATCTGGAAGAGGAGAAGGTAAAAGTAAGGGAGTTGTTCTAGATAGAAGAAACAGCATAGACAAAGGTTCAAGGGCGACATGGAACAGGGCAGATCTAGGAATTATAAAATGTTCTTTACAGCACAAGCATGGAGTGTGAAGGGGTCATTGCAAAAAAATGACAATGAAGACAGGGTCAGGCACCAGATCATAAAGGGCCTTATAAGCCATGTGAAGGAGGTTGGCAATGAAAACCCTTGGAGAGTTGTAATCAGGGGATTAATATGTCTATAACTGTACCTTAAAAAAGAACATATTCATGTTTGATGATTAAAGAATAAACTGATAGACTGTTGTGGGCCTAGACTGAAGACAGAGATACCACTTAAAAATTTATTGCACTAAGGCAAGTGAGAGATGCTGATTACTTAGATTAGGATCATGACATTTATACTGGAGAGGACTAGATGGATTTCAGAGTCAATTAGAAGGTAAAGAAATCAGGATTTGTTAACTGATTGAATACAGGAGGTGAGAGGGGGGAGATATTGAGAATGATTCCCCAGGTATTTATATGTGTAACTAAGAGAATGCTTAAGAGAATGCTGTGCCTTTAATGACACAGGCACATAGGGAGAAAAGCAGGCATGGGTGATATAATAGTAGGAGAGTGCAGCTGGAGTAATTTTAGACATGTTGTTTCAAGTGCATGTAAAACATCCAAGTGGGGCTGTCTTAAAGAACAGTGATATAGATTCAGGAGTCATTAGCATATAGAGATGAGATGGCTCAAGGAGAATACATAGAGAAAAAGAAAAGAGAACCCAGAATATAACCTTGAGGAAGCTCAACATATAAGAAATGGGCAGATGAAGAAAAGCCTGGTGTAGAAATGAGTTTTTGTCCCAAGGTTTATATTTTCTTTATGGTATAGGAGGTGAAGTCATCTTCTGAGAGCGAAGAATCAAGGAGATAAGAAAAGGGAGAAGATTTGGAATAGGAGGAGACTGAGAGACAAAAACAAATATTCTAAGTCAGAAGGTCAATGGACAGAACTCCTAGAAATACCAACAGTTAAGGGGCAAAGAAAATAGGAAGCCCAGATTGAGACAGAAAATTGTAAAATTTAGGTTGAAGAAGATCCAAGGGATGGTATCACAGAAGACATGGGAGTTAAGAGTTTCCAGAAAGATAAACAATAAGTGAAACAGAAAGATCTACTAAGATGTAGGTTGAAAGATACCTACTGAATTTTTCAATAATTTAAGCAAAAGCATTTTCAGAGGAATAGTAAGCAGGACCGGAAAGGACTGTAGAATGCATGGAATATAAAGTGGAAATTCAGATGAAAAAGGAAAGAAAGGATAACTAGAGGGAGATGAATATGTAAATAAACTAAAAACCAGAACCAACAGAGAGGAAGAGTTTGAAGAAACAGGAAAGAGTAGTTTTCTAGGAATGTTGCAGAAGAGGATAGGATCAAGCATTAGAAGGAGGAGTTGGCCTCTAAGAAACACCCTTTCTAAGATCAGAGAAAAGGAGACAAGGATGAGTGAAAATATAAGCAAGATTGTGGTGGGGGACTGGGAAACTGACAACAATCAGAATATTAAGATTATCTAGCTAGATGAAGATAGGCCAAAGGAAGGAAGGAAGGAAGCTGCTTTTAAAAGCAAGCCAAGAAAGAGGATGAAAGTAAGGGATGGGGCTGAAAACAGATTTGGAATCCTGGTTGAAAAAAAATGAAAATGCTGAATAACAGTAAGAATAAGGAGCAGCAAGAGGCACTGTGAGTCTAGTTGAGTTGGGAGGCTGCAGAATCACAGTGCAGAATTACATCTGCTCATTTGTGTGATTTTTTTTCTAGTAGTTTTAGCAGGCCAGGTACAGGATCAGAAAATGCAGAATGGGAGAGGGTGGGAAGATGACAGAGTAGAAGGACCCTCAGCTTGTCTCATCCCATAGATACAACTAGATTAACACTCACATCAGTGTAAACAACCCAGAAAACGATCTAAAGACTGGCAGAATAAACTCCACAACTAAAGGTAGAGAAAAGGCCACACCAAAGAAAGTCCGACTTTCTTCACTACAAAATGGACCACGGCCATCTATAGTGGGGAGGAAGCTGGCGGCACAGAGAAGGGCAAAAAACAGACTGTTACACTGGGAAGCCTGAACAGGGAAGATGAATCTCCATGTTTGGCTTTGAAAGTGAGAGGGGCTGAATTTTGTGAATTCTTACAACCGGCAGGACTTAAAGCCTGGAATTTAAAAAATCAGGAATCTTGGTTCTGGGAGAACCCAGAGAGCATTAGGAAGTGGAGTCCCTGCCCTTTAAAAGACTACAGGACAAACAGCCAGCAGAGATACAGCATGGAAGTAGCAGTTTGAAAATGCTGGGGCAGATGGGAGAGAGAGTTATTTACTCATCTCAGAGCATGTCCTAGAGAGGCAGGGATCACAGAGAGACCCCTCTAGGAATGAAGGAGGTTCTACCCCTTGGCAAAAAACATAACCATATGCCCAGGAACCAGCACAGCTCTGAAACTTGCTACCTAACTTGCTTACACCAAACCCTTTCACTCCTGTGCTGGGGCAGATTTGCCCTTTCCAGTCACGCTTGCCTCAGTCATGGTGCTGCAAGTCTCCTCCCCCAGAATACAAATGCAAACCCCACCAACACCTTATCTCCCAATCCACATGTTCTGTGGGGCTAAAGTTCCGGTGGTTGTGGCAGGTCTCATTTTGCAAGCTGACAGGTGCGCACCTTGTTAAAACATGCCCCCACCCAAATGAGGAGCAAACACTGACCACAACAGGCAAAGAGAGCCTCTGCAGACAACTGGACTGAAGGAAAAAGAGGCCAGGACTCAATAGCAGGGCATACACAGCACACATAGAAGATACTCCCTGTAGCACCAGGTCCTTGAGAATGGGACACTACACTGCAGGGCTCTATAGGACCTCTTCTTCATAAGGCCAATATCATTAAGAGCAACAAAAGTAGCTGACTTTCTTAACACAGAAACAGAGAGTAGACAAAATGAGG